CACTTTTTTCCGGTATTAGCGTTAAAATCGTAGCCGAAATTCATTTCGAAGTGGTAATTCTTCAATTTTTTTTTTCATTTTTTTTTTCATTTTTTTTTTCTTCATGTCGGTACTATTCTAATTACGTGTCAAGGGCTTTAATTTGATACACTTTTTAGTTGGAAATCTTTTACTCCTTCCACTGTTAACAGTGATGAAGAAAAAAAATTGAAGAACTACCACTTCGAAACGAATTACGGCTCCGATTTTAATGCCAACACCGAAAAAAAGTGGACAAAAGAGGCTCTACCTTTGTTCCAGCGTTGCCTTGAAAAAGAATGAAAATCATTCGAAACGTTGGCAAATTAAAGAATTGAGCACTGCGCTGTGTTTTCTGTATGGCTGCACGTCCCACAACCCAACATCGAGGAAAATGCAAATAAACAAAGAATATAGAGGAATTCACTTGGATTTTTTCTTTGCCTTTACCTTTCATGTGTAGGTTTTTTTACGTTTCTTTGGTTTTCATTCTCATGTTAGCTTAATTTTATATAGTTTTTCCATTTATTTTTTTTCTTTTATTAGTTTTTCGGGTCGGGGCGGAATAACTAGTACCCTCCGACCTGGATTCTAGTCACAGGATATGCATCTGAGATTGGGTTTTTATACAGGAGTATGTATGTATTTATTGTGTGAGTGAATGTGAGAATGACTAGTTTTAGGGATTGGAAGGGCGCCGAAATGACCAAAGAAGTCGATGGCCCCCGATCAGAGCCCAACCTCGGAGTCGCTCAGGCACCAAGGTGGGTGACTCCCCTGATCCATCAGGGAGAGGCTAGAGGTCTCGTAATTCTTATTCTAATTCTAACATTTTGACCTAATATTTTATATTAAATTCAGTTTGTTATGCTGCTAAATTAACACCTTAAAAGTTTAGTATGTGATCAGATACAAATTTTAGCTATAACTCTAGAAACGGCTGATATCTGATATCAGATCATCCATATTCTAAACATAATTTCAAGGGGATATTTCAATTGGAGACCCGTCGTTAAAGCACAAATATAGCCATGAAGCATCGAATCGTGAACAGCTGTGTTTGTACCCAGGGTCGTCGGTACAAACTCGTTTAATAGACGTGCTAGAAGTAATAAGGGCTGGCCAGAGTCCAAATATCGCCGTCGGAAGGTTAATACACTATTTTAGTATCCAGCCTTTTGACGTAGCACATCAAAGATTTCCCACGTGTTTCCAAACACTCGAGGGGGAAAAAGAAAACAGGCTCTTCCCATGCGAGGGCTTTTTGTGGGTTGAACCTACCTATTTGCGTGTGTGTTCCTGTTTAAGTCGCGAGGAGCGGTCAATAATGAGGTAGTTTATGAAAACACCTTTTGCATTTTTTTGCCAATGTTTCAATCTTTATTCGGTCATTTTCAGGGCCTGGGTAAATTACAAAACATATTTTGATTGGGAAAAATACAATTTAAGATGTAAATATAAATTTTAAACCAAGTATTTCATACAGTGTGGTGCTCTTCTTGTGGTGTCAAGTTGGTGTTGTGAAACCAGTGAAAGGTGAATTTTTCTTCTGCTCTTTTTATTTGATCGTGTCAGAGTGGGGACGCGGTAAATCTGGGAAAATTCTTTGATCATATGAAGATCGTGTAATGCGGTCTGGTGTGACGTAGGTTTAAAAAAACATTTTCTTTTTCGGGCCAACGTTTCGATCTTTATTGAGATCATCTTCATGGCTCAAAGTGTATGTTTTCTGTGTAGATGTGTGATACTCGTGTGTCGTGTTGAGAATGCCAGTGAGATATTGACACTCAACACGACTGAAAACAAACACTTTGAGCCCTGAAGATGATCTCAATAAAGATCGAAACGTTGGCACGATAAAGAAAATGTTCGTCTAAAACCTACGTCACACCAGATCTCTCGATCTACAAATAATCATTAACTAACGGTCACTAAACATCACACATTTCTTTGATCATAGTAATTGTGTCGTCACTGTATCTGCTAGTATAGGGCCTAGATTGCTGCTCATGGCTATGTCTAATATGTAGTTGTATAGATACATGCAAACTCAGCCATAGCTCCGCCATCATAACGCAAATAAACCATTAAACCTTAATTTTATTTTTCCGTTTCCTTCGTTTTCGTCCTTAATAATTAACTTCCTTTCCAATATTAAATGCCGAATCACAAATCCAATCCAGAAAATCTCTAGATTTAGACATTCTGATTAGAAATGTGGGGCACCGCCAAACCTATTAACATCCAACGAATTCGTTCCTTCGAATCCAAAGTCCTTAGAATTATAGTTAACGCTCCTCACTGTCTCCAACGCCACCTTCCACAATGACCTCAAAATACCCTTTGTAAATAAATTAATCCCGTCCAAATTCACCCAGTTCCACGACAAACTCTCCAATCACCCCAACCCAGTAGCCCAATCCATGTCCAGCATAATCCATCCCTACAATCCTGTCCGCCGATTAAAGCGGAGATGGCCTCAGGACTTCTTCATCAAGGACTAACCTTACACAAAACAGGGAGACCAAGAGGTTGGCAACTCCCTGAAGACTATACAGTGTACAATGTAAATATGTAAATAACCAAATTACGAAATGTATATTTTATTTATACAGGTAGTAATTAAAAAAACCTAATAAAATTAATTGTTCTCTTAAATATTGTTTATGATTATTTTATAGTCAATCGATTGTGTACGTTTTAAAACATAATATTTACGTACAATTAAATTTTATAATTAAATGTAAAAATATACAACTAGATTATCACTATTACCTAGATTCATTTTCCTTGATAAAATTAATTTTTAAAACAATTGTTTTCAAAACGTTTTGTAGTACGAAATAAAATTGAAAACAATGATTCGGCCATCGACGACCCGGCTTGTACGCGGAATTAGTTATTAATTATTAATTAGTTTAGACCTTTGTCTTAGGTGGGTTAAACAATTTTGCCACGCCAAAACGTGCAACTTCGAGCAAAATAATAATAGTGTCAAAAGGACTTCCTTTCCACGATTCGAATTTCTGTCTTGGTTACTTTGCAATCGGGGTGAGCCATAAAAATATGCTTTTGTGAGGGAATCCGGTATAATATCTACTTCCGCAGAAAGATTGTCATGGACCATGACGAAACTTTTATTTGTCATTCAAATATTTTTTTAAGCATCATAATGTCCAGTCGACAATTTGTACCATAATTTCAATTCATAAATTCAATTTTCCATAATTTCGACAAGGAATTCTTATAACTCGTGTGTACTTGATTTATAACCGATGTTTAACCAAATTGGCTGTTCAATATTATGTGCATTCCATAATGAATTTACACCATGCAACCCGCACGTTTATTCATTTAAATTCTTTTCCTAAAAGGAAAGTGGACATTCCGTCCTTCACTATTTCTATACAGAAAGACATAAATTACTTCCTATATGAAATTTCGAAGTAATGGATTTCAAATGTCAACAGCAGGTGAAACGTTTAACTGGAAAATTTCAACAGGAGAATGCCTTAAACCTCGCAGCACCGACAGAATATACAGCGACGTTGAAAGATATATTTCTTCTTATATTTCATTTCTTTGTTTTTTAATCTTTCCTTTATCTTCACATTGTCTTTTATTTTAGTTTTCAATTCTATGTTTTGTGTTTTTCTGTTTATCCTTTCTTTGTTTCATATTGTTACATTTCCTTTTTAATTTATTGATTGGTCGTTTGTTTTTGTTATCTTAATTTCTCTATTTTTGTCGCATTTCTCGGATTTTCTCCCTGTCATCGATGTTTCATTTGTTTCTCCATTTGTCTTTAATTTTTCTATTGTGGGTTTTTTTTCTTTGTTCGTTTATTTCTGTATTATTGTCATTCTTTTTTCCTTGATGTTTCATTCATTTGTTTTACCTTTTCTTTTTCCAATGTGATATCGTTTTATGTCTTTTATTTCTCTGAATTTTTAATCGGTTCTTTTTATTTTATTTGTATAGGATATGCTTTTATTTCCATTGTTTCTTTTACGTATTAACACTTTTTTTGGCTTTTCTATTCTTTTGTTTTGGTGCCTTTTATTTTTATTATTATTATTATGGTATTTAATTGCTTTAGCTTTTTTTCATATCGGTATAATTTTATTTATTAATTCTTTTTCTTTTCTTAGGCGAGGATTTAATTTTCCGTATGCTTTCTTGGCTTTACTGTATCAATTAGTTCTCTTTCTTGTTATTTTCTACTATTTTCCCTTTTGTTTCGTTGTACATATTTCATTTTTTCTAGAGATATTTTGATTGTTATTTTATCCAGTGATTTCTTTTTCGAACTACTATAGTTGCATTGATCTATGCATCCCCATTGGTTTTTATAACTCTAAATATGTTACTTTTATTATTTTCGTATTTGGTTTTTTCTTATACTTCTCTCTCTCCCCCCTCTCACGCTCTCTCACCCCTCTCTCGCTCTCTCCCCCCTCTCACCACCCTCACTGCCACCACCCCCCTCAACGCCATCACCCCTCACTATCTCCCTTTTCTTCTCTTTCTCTTTCTTTTCCTGATCCTTAGGTTTTTCTTTCTTTTATCCTTCTTTCCTAAGTTTTTATGCTGTTATATTTTTAATGCTGTTATGTTATGTATTCGTTCACTTGATTATTTTTGTTTATTGTCTCCGTTTGTTGATTTTCTCGTTCTTTTTTTATTTTTTCAGTTATTTGTATTTGATTTTTTTTATGACATCCTTTTTTTGGTATTCCATACATTAAATTTCTTGTATCTTTTCTCGTTTCTCTCTCGGTTTTTTTGCCTTTTATTTTTCTTTCTTGATCTTTCATTTGTTTCACCATTTTTTAAAGCGTATCGTTTCCGTTTTGTACCGTTTTTCATACATTTATTATTCTTTTTTTGTTTGCATTTTTCCGTGTCTTTGCGTTTCTTTTTTTATGGAAGTATAAAATAAAATTATTACTATAATTGTTAATATTGCCATTATCTTTCAGAGAGGAAAAAGAGGCCATCAAAAACGACGACAGCCAGGAAGTCACCTCGCTTTATTCCAAGCTGACTGAACTTCAAAAAGACCTACTTCAAAAGGCATCGACTTTGGAGAGTGAGTAAACCGGCTTATTTTAATAGATTATCAAATTATCCTAATCGTTCAAAAGCCCTTGCAAGAAGAGGAACTATTTTTAGAGTTTTTAAAAAAAGAAACGCTAATTGCTAAGTCTGAGTGTGTTTACAGAAAGAGTTGTTGTGCAAAGACTGATCTATTGTTACGTACTGTTTCCGCCAAATAACAAAATGTAGGCTACTTAGATAAATCTAACTTTTAAAATACGATCAAAGAGTCATTTCTCGAACTGTTTTATCAATTAAAAAACTATAGTAAAATTCCTGTAGTAAGATCATCTTTCGAGGTCAGTGGTCAAAATATCAACCACGACAAATGACTGAAATCTAATTAAACAAAAAATAGTTAGTATTGATATATTACAAAAGAAAATCAAGCGAATATGGCAACGAATTATACAACAATGACAAATAACATTATTTATAGTGGGCTCCCACAGGATTGGAGTCGCACTTGCCAAGACTTGCCAGCAATTTGGTCAACTCTGTGAATGCATAAACAATCTTTTTGTTTCATTGTTTTTTTTCTTTTTTTAAGAGAGGGAGAGAGAGAGAGAGAGAGAATCAAACGCATATTTCCTTAACTAATTAACTAAATAACACAATGTCATTGTTTTGTTGTTTGTCTTCAAATATTTAAAAAGCAATGTTAATGTTCAAGCTACTTGCAGCTTGTTGCATAATTTTTACTTTATTGTAATATTTGCAGGGTTAAATCCATTAGGTTTCGATGTCCGATTTACCAAAGAAATTCTTTTCAATTAATTAATCTTAAATAAGGTATTGGTTGAGATAAAAAAATCAGTGTCACGAGCCGGATTCGAACCCACGACCCTCGGCTAAATACGCCGCTGCTCTACCACTTGAGCTATCATGACTTTGCCATTTTCCACCCTTTTTTATCTCAATCAATACCTTACTTAAAGATTAATTAATTGAAAAGAATTTATTTGGTCAATCGGACCACGAAACATAATGGATATAATAAGCAAACTGAAGTATACTTCACTAAAGCTCTCCGTGGACATTTCATTTGTCGCCGAGAATCGAACAGATTACACGACATTTGGAAAATGGCAAAAAGGAGGGAAAAATTCAAAAAATGGGGTTGAGATGAGAAGTTGGTGTCCGAGTGGATCGAGGTCACGGTAGCTCAAGTGGTAGAGCAGCGGCGTATTTAGCCGAGGGTCGTGGGTTCGAATCCCGCTCGTAACACTGACTTTTTTCATCTCAACCAATACCTTGCTTAAAGATTATGCAGGGTGTCCTTTTTAGATGGCCCGGCTGAATTTCTCTTGAAACAGATAACGTTAACAACAAAAAAATCATTTAATATTTTTTAGTCTAGTTTTAAATTTTTACTTTTTTAAAATATTTATTGTCAGAATACTTGAGCCAGTTGAAATTTTTAATGAGAACATATACTTTTTACCCACTGTTTTAAAGTATTTTTTTAAATAATTTGAATGGCGTAATCAAATTTTAAATTCGTCATAGATTAACAAAGTTATGGCACAGAATGTGAAACTAAATATCTTAATTTCGATCTTCTTATTAAGTATTTTCATTGTCTGTTTTGGTGCGGTTTAATGAATTTCCTGGGATGATGATGGGTCTACTAGCCGTGGGTACGCTCGTTTTTAGTCTATAAACAGATACATTTTTAGAGGATCAAGGACATCTCTTTTTTCCTGTTTGTTGCCCTTGATGTTCAAAACGTGTAGAGTAGCTTTTTTAAGTGCAACCGTTCATTAATTAAAAACGCCCGTAGCCATTGCTAGCAGACACATCAGCATTATCCTAAGAAATTCATAGTACCTTTTTTAATAATCTGGTTCTTAATGTTTTTTTTTTTTTGCTTTGTCAATGATTTGATATTGTTTACACAAACTGGTCATATTGAATGTAGCCAAAAATGAAAAGCATTAGGGCTAAATTCCAACTTTTGTTTTCCCCCATGAACTTTCAATATACTTCAATAAGTTTTCACCAATCAGTCAAAATGAGCCGAAGGGTGCGTTTTCTCGTCATTCTGCCATAGGTACCATCACAAAGTTGAACTACACATCTCTTATTGGGGCGTCGGTGGTCGCAACGGTTTAGGTTGACACGGCGCTCATCACAGTAAGGTAAAGGTCCTGGGTTCGAATCCAGCGAAGCATTCGAACCCGACATCCTTACAAACGGCCTTTTTCAAAAACACCGGCACCCTGAGGGTTATATAGCCTCTGCTGTTGCGAACCCTCGTAAAAAAAAATCTCTTATTCGTGTTGCACATGTTGATGTGGATCTATTGGGGGCCCATCAAGAAACCGGCCACATCATTTCAATGATGAACATAGATTTTGTCGTCTGTTCTCGAAATTCCACACACCTAACTTCGGAAGACTGAAAGGGTTTTTAAAAGAACAAGATTAGAAATATCTTGAAAAGATAGTTCTTACTCGCACTTTATTAAACAACATACTCTCCCCACCTTTACCATTTCTACAAGATTAGAGATTAGAACATACAATTTTAAACATATCGCTCTCAACTTGTCCAGGAGCTTCAGGACAATGATTTTGTTGGACAGTTAATGCTATTTTCAGAGATGTTGATCTCAAGTTCACCACATAGTATGCTCAATCGGTGGAATTTTCGAAAGTGGACATTGGAAAACCAGTGCCCATCAAATATCGGGTTGTCCGGAAAATAATGCAGGATTTTAAGTTTTCATTAAAAAAAATCTATATAAAATATTCTGTTTACGTNTCGAAATTCCACACACCTAACTTCGGAAGACTGAAAGGGTTTTTAAAAGAACAAGATTAGAAATATCTTGAAAAGATAGTTCTTACTCGCACTTTATTAAACAACATACTCTCCCCACCTTTACCATTTCTACAAGATTAGAGATGTCCTCAGAACATACGATTTTAAACATATCGCTCTCACCTTGTCCAGGAGCTTCGGGACAATGATTTTGATAGACGGTTAATCCTCTTTTCAGAGGTGTCGATCTCAAATTCATCACAAACGGTATTCTCAATCGGTGGAATTTTCGAAAGTGGGCATTGGAAAACTTCCAAATCAAGTATCCATGTCATCATCAAATTGTTCACTTTTGTGCCATAAATTTGTTATTCTGAGATCAATCTGATTGCGCCATCGTTTTCGGTGTAAAAATCCGTTAAAACAGTAGGTAAAAATTTAAAATTAGAAAAAATATTAAATAAGTATTTTTTGGTTTTTCTATAGCATTCTGTACAAGCGAATTCAGCCGAGCCATCTAAAAAGAACACCCTGTATAAAAATGGAATATTTATTTGAAAACTAATGTAAATTTAAGTTTTTGCCTTTGTGAAAAATGGGCTGTTTAAACTCTTTCTATTTCGCCTGTTAAAAAAATTATGATCGTCAGTGTTTTGTTATTGATCAAATCAAGGTTTTTCTTGTAAAAGTCGAGAAATAAAGTCCAAATTGCAAATCATCTTCACAGCTACACCGAAAAAGGCTTTTTTCCGAAGGTTCCTCGGCCTTGTGAATAGAATACTTTATTTTTTCACGTGAACTACAACATGATAGGAAAAAATAACTAATTGTAAGGGTTGGATTTTATTCCACCTGCCGGAGTTGTTTAAAAAAAATTAAAAATGAAATAATAGTTAATATGAAATAACTAATGTTAGGTGGGCGTAAAAAAAGCTACTTTGTTAAGTTGTTGTCAGGCATAAGGGGTCCTAAAGTTTTCCCCTGACCGAAACTCAAATATTTGTACCCTTGTTAACCGAAAAGGCCCTAAATGCAAAAACCGCACCTCGCCAAGGATTGTTCATTTCGCCATAAAATGAAATACATTTTCCGGACTGCGTCAATCGTAGAAAGAGCACAACCTCTCATTTTCCTGCCGTCATACATCCACATTTAAGCATAGCAGTTCACATCTTATTTTGAACAGCCAATGAAGATCAGATAGATTTAGATCATCTAGGTTTGCTTTCCTAAAGTCAAACAACCAAGCTACTGATAAAACTGTTTTAAAGAATATCTTTGGTAGGTGAACACTACTCATGATTTATTTGGGAAATACTGACTAAGATTGTTTTGAAATAAGAGTTCCATTCTCTAAGTTCATTATATTTCGTGGTCTGATTGACCAAATAACATCTATCAATTAATTAATCTTTATTTAAGGTACTGGTTGAGATAAAAAAGTCAGTGTCACGAGCGAGATTCGAACCCACGACCTTCGGATGTTAGGCTAAGTACGCCTCTGCTCTGGCATTTGAGTTATCGTGACTTCTCTCTATTCTCTAAGTTTAAACTGCATCGAATCCCGTATTTTTCGAATAAGATCTTCCAATGTGCAATAATGTGCAAACCGTTTGGAAGCCGTAATATTGAAGAACTTGGAATCTTAGTACCTTAAGATTTTGACTATATAAACAAATTACAGTTTTAGATAAACAAAAATAAGATCAGTGGCACTTTCCAAGTACAGGAGATGTTGGGTGTGGCAGACAGTAAACAATTTCCTGATAAAGGAGCGATGTAATTTTTCAACCCATTTAGTATTTTCAAATTTAGCACCCATAACATAGAATTGATCTACAGACTGCATTGAATGCACAATATTTTGCTCTCAGCTGTACAACGTTCTGCATGATGAAAGGAGTAAAAACTCGGTCTTGTCTCCGCATTAGTAAACAAGATTTTTCAAAAATATCCACTTTTTGACATTCTTAGTAGCCTGTTTGTCTAGGGATCAAAATCCTACAAATCATGATCTAATCATGGCTTCAAATAAGTCAAAACGGTTCCGTGCTACGATTCAACACCAGTTCACCTTCCATTGTGGATTTTATTTTCACCTACCACCTTCACCCTTCATTCTTAGTTCTAGTAGTGTTATTTTTTTTCAAAAACCGCATTTTATAATTTAAAAAACAGCTAGTGTACATAGTTAAATAAAGAATATATCAATGATATGAGTCATATCTGAAGATAATGTTTTTAGGCAGGGCTTTTGTTACAGATTCTTAGAACAATATGATTTTCTGCTAAACTTTTTATTCAAGAAAAATAGGCCAAATGTTCGTTTTTGTGGACAAAATCGATTAGGTTTTGACAAAATTCGCGTTGAGAAAACCACCTGGAATGTATGATATAACTTATGTACGCAACTTCATTTGGTCATCGTCACGACCAATTTTATTCGCACTCGTTTTAAAAGGGATTCCGCTTAGTCTACAAAAACGTAAGGTCAACAGCTCACCTATTTTATTAATAGACAATATCGCGGACCAATGGTCTTTTCCTCTCGGCACGTTATTTTAAATCTACGGTCTATTTTACTCTGTCGCAGCTCGGATGCGAAATCGGCGATTCCAGTTTTCCTGTCCGGGTAAAATAGACGAGTACCGTGTTCTCGAATTACGCCTTTCCATTGCTCAACTCTTGTTTTAAAATTTAATATCCGTAAGATATCTTGATGTAATAAAATGTTAATCAGATCCTCTTTTAAAGTTTGTAAGTTTACTTCCCTTTTTAAAGTTCTGTATAAGTAAGTTGTGGACGTTCAATATCGAAACATTGTTCAATTGTTGAAACTTGTCGTGGTAGTATTGATTGCTTGATTTAAAATTTACCTTTCCTCATTAGTAGGAAATTCGTTCAGACACTGACTGATTGGCTTAAATCCTATTTAATCTTGACTTAATTATGACAAAAAATTGCCAACTGAGTGCCTTTTATAGAACTGTGCCAACTGTGTCTAGAGAGAAATTTAATACAGAATACTTTATAAAAATGAATAAAGATAGTTTCAATTTGCCCTTAATAAATAAACCGGACCAATTCTTTCAACTTCAACTCAACATTACAGCAATTACCACAAATATTATATAATCTAAATAAAAATTTTAAACTTTTCTTACATTTTACTTACCTGAGATGTTCAAAACGGAAGTACATTTACTTATAACTTGTAGCTTTGCTGAAAAAAAGAACGGCTTATGTAAACAGGAAGCCATCAAAGCTGACAAGTCTTGCGGGTTTAGCATCGTAAATGGAATCAATTTCTTTGTCCTTTTGTGTCAATGTTATAAAACGATTTGTTTTTATAGAGACGCCCACTTCCCTCCTAAAAACAGTGTCGGTGATGGAAGAGAAAATGCGAATGAACTTTGTCCAAATGTAAATTTATTTTGACGCCCAAACCGTAAGCGTTGACAGATCGTTTAATCTTCCGTTGGGAAATAAGGCACAAAATCCGCATTGCCTTTTGCATATTACAAACCATTGTTATAGATATTACAAGAAGATGCGCGTTTAAATAAAAAGTAACTGTTCTATTTTACATACACTTTTACGCTTTATTAATTTTTAATATTAATATTTTGATTAAAAAATACACTCAGTTATCAACCTAATGTCAGAAACAAATGTGGAATAAGTGACCAAATGCTGGTTCAGTTTGATTGTGGAATTGCTGAATAATATCTGGTACTATATTTTTTGTAAATTATAATGGAGTGAGAAAATCAATAGTTAAAAATGTTGTATTGTATTCACAAACTACAGTTCCTTGAAAAATTCCTTAAAACAATTAAGCTGGAATGAATGTCAAAACGGATGGAACGCCCAGAATGAAAAACTAAAGGTGATAAAACCGACAGTCAAACCTTGGATCCCTGAAATTTTCAAAAAGAAAGAAAAAATTGTACTTACACGATTAAGGATAGGCCATACTCGCCTAACACATGGACATCTCATCGACAAAAGACCGAGGAGATGCCCCATGTGCAGCGCAACTGTAACAGTAAGACATATTTTAGAAGAATGCGAACAATTAGCGCCGCACAGAGCACAATGATATAACAAATGTGCTTAAGCACAACAGTGATTATAAACAAAAGGTTATTGATTACCTAAAATTAATCGATGCATATGCTATATATAACCCACCACACATGGTATATACACCCCTATTTGTATGAATGTATTTATTTGCGTGAATGTAGAAGTATTCATGGGTGTGGCTGTGAAGGAATATAGAGTACTCACAGGCCCATCAAATTAGTATAGGTACTTACATATATACTACTACTTCCGAAGTGTAGTGGCCTGTCCAGAATTAATGTATTTAGTAGCGTGAGTGGTGATGCGTGAAAGGACGTGGCTGTCAAGGAATTTCGACTACACAGGCCCATCAAACAATTTAGGATAGTTTAGTGTATGAGTGGAATTTGTAAATACCGTTTGAATGTATTTATTAGTATGAAAGAAAGGAGGCTGCAAGATCACAATAATCTTCCGACCTCCAATTTACGTGTAGTGTAGGTTAATAAATTAGTATGAATGTGAATTATGAAAATGTGTATAAATATTATATTTATGTATTTTAATTTATCATATGTGGGAGGGTAACAAAAGCAAGATAGCAAATCTCCTATTAGGTGAATTGGAAGGGAACAGTCGTTTAGTTGGGGCATAAGAAGACTTAGAAAATAATGTAAACATAAGACAGCTAAGAAGACAAATGTGAGAAGGCTATATACAAGAGGCGCCGGTGATTACCCTGGTAGTTAGCCGGCAAAAAAAAATTAGTTTTATTGGATACTAAGTGGTCACTGATAGAGATTTTTTTATCTCATTGTATTGATGTTGAAAAATACACATTTGAATAACAGTACAGTATTTGCCATTGATAAAAAATTCGTCAACCAGATTACTTTCAACACAAAAACCCAACTTTTTATAAATGTGAAGCGCTTTGGGGTTTTCTTTAACTACAATTAAATAGACCTTATTGTAAAAAGCTGCTTAAAACAAAAATATTCATATTTTCTAAATACATATTTGTTTAATTCATTTCCAAATATTTGTCTCTTTTTTTACTTTAAACTTTTAACAAATGCATTCCTCTACATTGTGCTAATCCTGTGTATGTACTCAATTTTGCTTGATTGGGTGCATTGATAAAAATGACATTGATTATTAATCCATTTATGTAATTATTAGAATTAAAATAATAATTATTAATCATGGCAAAGACATTGTGGAAAAACAAAATTTACGTCAGCTAAAACACACACACTCCATGTAACAAGTAGCAATACAAGCGTGCAAAGTTAACAAAGTTCGGAGAAATTATTTGTAGTCATCATAATGATTCTACAAAATTTAGGCCAATGAACTGTAAATTAGTTTTGTCACAGTCCAAAGCAAAAAAAAGTCAATTGCAACTAACACGAGTTGAGGGAAGTGAAAAGGGCTGAGAAATCCATCGAAAACCAAATTACTTAATAATGATACATAATCATGTTAACTTGTCTGTAAATATCTCTTCTTTTTTTGCACATTGCAAAACGGTTGAAATAAATTTCTTTTAATTTTAGCTCTAGTCCACTTGTTCAGGATTCTCTTGTTATCCATTCAACTATTCTTTTTCTCATCACCTCTCAGTACTCAGATTTAAAGTGGAACGAATTTTGTGACTGATTAAAATATTTCCAGTAATAAAACATCAAATGAAATGAGATTTGAAAAAAGCTTAATTTGTATCTCAATTTTTTATTAAACATGTTCAATCTGACCAAAGATTAAGGGGACTTGCTTGCTTGAGCTGTTGTATCATAGTAGAAAATAATGCCTCATCATGCAATAATGCAAAACTTCAAATACATAATAATCAATGACATTTTAAATAGTTCTCCAACAAATAATAAGCATTAAATTCTTGCATAGTTGTGTAAGAAAATAACTTCAAAGTTTTCAATGGCAATTTTTTCCTCTAGAAGTTTATTGTTTAGTATAAATTCAAAGTAAATAGCATAAAGTATAATAATAATACCTTACATGAACAATGATATTTTAATTAATAATGTATTATAAAGTAATAATATATTATTATAAAATAACATGGTAAAGCATTTTTCTATAATAGTTTTATAATTTAATGCAATAAAAAGTGTGTAAGTTATTAAAAAAAAATTACTTTGTGACAGGAGCTCAAACAGAACTCGAAGATGCTTATAATGAAGCAGATTATGTTAAAAGAAAAGTTGAAAAACTTGAATCCGACCTCGAGGAGCAAAAACAGCGAAATTCAGAACTTGCAAGGAGATTAAGTAAGTATATTGATTTATTTTAATGTTTTATTAACCTATTAAGTCATGTTGTAATTTTCTAGGTGAAGATTATGCCAACGCAGAAGACAGAAAACGGCTGAAAGATGCTGATATCAAAATAGCAGAGCTGGAGTTTAAAGTGAGAGAGATCAGAGGTGAAAAGGAAAAACTCGAAGAATCTCTGTCGGTTCTTAAGATGGAGAGAGACGCTGAGTTACGGCGAGTTAAAGATGTACGAAGAACCATTTGTCCTTCTCAGCCAAATATTTATTTTCTATTAACTTTGATTTAAGGCGCTCAATGCGGCATTAGCGGAGAAAAAGGAACAGGAGGCCAAGTATCAAAAGGAATTTGAAACGTTGAGAACGTTAAACTCCGGCAGAGAGGTTCAGATGCTCGAAGATTTTGAATGGAAACTCAGAGAAGTTGAAAAATTGGGTAAAAAGAAAATAGCAGAAGCAATAGAAGACAGAGAAAAAAAGATAATCGAGTTGTCATCTAAACTCGAACAAGCCGAAGCTGACTTGGTGCAAGTAAGCATCAAATTAATATATTAACACATTTAATATGAAAGATAAGAAATTTATTTAAACGTTTCAACAAAATGTTAATTTGTTAATTCTGTACCAAATTTAGTTATCTTTTTGTAATAGTTGTAAAATGTTGCAATAGTTATAAAGAAAACAAGCAAAATCATTTATATTTGTTGCAAAATTTCCACTTTCTCAATTTGACGTGACTGTTTATATATACAACTTCTTTAAAACTAATTATTTGAGTTTTTTTCCAATTAAATTAAAATATTTAATACTTATGTTAATACAATTAAATTAAATATTGTTATTAAATTAGTTGGTCGAGCTGAAAGCATATGAGGAAGAGTTAAAGCAACTCAAGGCGACATACTCTGAGCAAAGGAAAAATCTACGTATCATCCAGAGGAAATATGAAGATATTCAAGTTAACGAAATGATTCTTCAAGAAGAAGTGAATCGGCTGCGAATAGCCATCGACAAAGAAAAGTCTGCTATAACTAACCTTCAGGTACAACAACATACTCAGGATTTTTCTTTTTTTGAAGATTGTCTCTGATTATCCTGATCTGTGATGATGAGAATGATGATGGCAAAATGTATATTTGCTAGAAATAGACAGACTAGGATGTTTGGAGACTATCAAGCTCAAAGTTCACCACCTTTGTAGACCTCACCACATTATTTCACAATTTAACGAAAAAGTCTTCTTTTTTATCATTAAAAATAAAGCCAATGTTAATTTTCAGGCACTCCACAGAGAAGAAATTTCAGAAAAAGACAGAAAAATGCTTTTTAAACTAGAATATCAAAAGAATCAATTGAATTCTGAGGTAATAATTTAAATCAATACAATTTAAGCATCTAAAAAAAAAATTAATGACTAAACTCATTACAGTGGGAGGAGAAACTAAAAAGAGACTGTGCTAAACTAAAATCAGATCTGGAAAGAACGTTTAGAGAAGAAAGGATGTCTGCTGTTGATACTGCTAAAAGGTTAAAAGACCAAGAGCTTGCAAACCAAAGATACAACTATGAGAAAAAAATTGAAGATCTTAAAACAGAGGTTTGTCCATAATCTCAGTTTAAAATATCAAATTCTTACATGGTAATTGTTTAAATTTCAGATCGAGGGATATAAAGAAAGGTTAAAATTCAAAGAAGGCAAGCATCAAATGGAATTGCAGAAAGCACAGACGAGTGCAGACAGAGAAGCGCTTGACATGAGACGGCAGCTCGACAAGCTGGACATGTCTTACCAAGAAAAAATAGAAAAACTACAAGAAGACCACGAGAAAGAAATAAGTAAGTAATAAGAAAAACATAAAAAACAATATAAAAACAAACGTTTTTTGATGATTTGCCAATCCTGTCACCTTGGGGCTTTTCACACGTTACAATATGGTAAATGAGGCATAAATCAGAAAAATTCAGTGAGTAAGATAGACCAGAATAATCGATCAAGATCAATCCACAAGTTGATCTTTCCACTATGATTCATATCATTTGTACAAGCAACATTTTTTATAATTTATTAAAATTACAAATACAAATTGAAACAATAGAATTTGTTTGCTTAATTTTCAGACTCATTAAAGGTAGAACATGAAAAAAAGATAGCTCAGTGTGAATCATCATTACAACAGCAATTAGGCACTACGAGGACAACATTAGAGCTCGTTAAACAAAGTATGCAAGACGAGAATCAGAAAAAGATTGAACAACTTGTTCGAAAGCATGAACAAAAAATGGGTAAAATTAGATTAATTTTAAATAAATATTAAACCAAAATATTAATATTTTTCTTTTTAAAGCTGAACAATGGGACAAATGGGAAAGAGCTAAAGAAATGGAAATTCAGGAATTGCAGAGCAGCCATAGAAAAACCGTGGAACTGCTCCAGTTGCAATTAGACGTCCTTAGAAAGTCGAAAAGCCAGAGGATTGAGGTTACTACACCAAATTTTGATGTGACTAAGTGGATTTAAAGTTTGTACAGAAGTGTGACTAACAAAATTGTCTTTTTGTGTGTTATGTGTGCTTTAATTTGCTTTATTTTTTATTTGTGTGTGTATTCATTTATACTATTACTGAATGTACAAAGTTTGTTTGTTTGTTAATAAATGGCTTTTGCAATGCTTGGTTTCATTTTTCAGAGAGAGAAACAAAAAACCTCAGTTTAATTATGTTTTTACAGGCTGCTCCATCAGAATCAGCACCAAAGCACAGTACTGATTTAGTACTGGTTGGAGACCCCTCGGCAAAAATCTCCCACAACCCTTTGAGGTATGTACTTGTGAAAAGCGTGGGTTTGTTTGTGTTTGGAAACCTCATTAAAATTTGTAATGGCTTTGAAAAATACTTTTCTTGGTTTGGGTTTTGGAAACCCAAATTTGGAAATAAGTAATGACAATCCCCTACTTCGTTCCACATCAATATTTTCATACTTACAGGGAGAGAGCAATAAATGAAAAACACTGCATTATTTCATAATGTAAGTAAAATAATAAGAGTGTGTCTAAAATTATGTAGTATTCCTTGGCTTTTATGTCAACTGTAAATGAGGAAAACCGTCAAGTCAATAAACCGCTATAAACTGAATCAAGTTCCACTTCCTTTTGCAAAACTCTATTAATATTTATAAATTTGCATGACATGTAACTAATAAAAAAAATATATTAAAGTGCAGAATATTAACAAAATATATATTTATAAAAAAAAATACCCTAAGAAGACTAACTCTGGCCTATTTTTTTTTTCTTCTGTTGTAGTGTCGGAAACATCATTTTCCTCACTCTCTTCCTTTCGTCCGTGTTTCCTTTTATGTCTCCGACTACATTTTCATTTACGTCAATTGTTGTGATGTTATATTGCATGGTTTTCATGCGGTGATAAATATTTATGAATATTTCTGGGCGTATTTTAAGTGTAAATATTAAGTACAATATTGTTTTGTTTTTAAAATATATATATTAGCTTAAAGCTAGATTTTGATACAAAAAGATTTTTTATTTTTGATGAGTTTTGCATTTCTAAAAAATTGCTTTTTATCAATGGTAAAGGAGTTGATACGTTTCTTACAATCTTGAAATTATCTTCTAATATCATTAATAAATTAAAATGCTAAGTGACAAATTAACTTTTATGATTGAAAGGTAATATAGTAAAAACTGCTTTTCTATAACTATAAAGTATTTTTTATACATACAAATTTGTAGTTTTGCTTTTTTTGAGCCCAACTTGTGTTCAATACTGAACAAAATATTTTATAATTAAAAACAAAAAAAAATTAAGTTATAACACAATTTTACAATAATATATAAGGTTTTGCTTTATTTCAAAATATCCGTCTGCTTCTTATGACATGTTTAGATGCATCGTAACACATTAATATCATTATAAATATCACAAAATCTCTGTACAGTGAATTCAATGTCTGAATACTCACTTTGATTTTGTAATTTATGACCACAAAAAAATAATTAACAACTTAATAAAAATTATTATTACAGACCACTATGTAACCACAATAAATATTATATTTGGAATGCTGATTTTTTTTTTTTATCTATAGCCTATGTAATGAATGTTTGATAAATTAAATATTTAGTCAATACTGTGTCATGGACATAGTAAATGAGTTCCTTTCAATTTAAAGCATGGATGTTCTTTATTTTATTAAACATTGTGTAGTCTCTAGTAAACCAATGAATGAGAATGAACACAGATTAAAATAATTAAGGAAGTGTAACTAAAGAGTAAAGGTAGAACAGGGCATCGTCTCGTTAACAACAAATAACAATCATGGTACTTAAATGAAAGAAACACCCATTTACTCATTTGTGCTGTTACAAAAGTTACTTTTTTTTCTTTCCAGTTTGTTTTCATTTATACCTCTCACTGTGCAGATTTTATATAACAAATTCATTCATTCATTTCTTTAACAATCACCAAGTAAAAAATCTTTTGAGATAAAATAAAATAAAACGACAAAGAGAGTGATTGAAAAGAAAAGCCCGTGCTCCATCCGTTGAACCTTTCTATTCCTGTCTGGACAGCTCCAGATTAGAACCTGAAAGATGCCCAAAAGAGGAAAACATCGAGGGGAACTTTCCTTCTGGTGAAAAGGATTTCAAGCACACCGACAATGATAAAAAGTATGTATCAGCAAATATACTAAAGAAGAAATACTTAGGATCTATTTTTTTTTCTTTTTTTCTAGAACCGATGATAATTTAAGGTTAGAGGAAGTCGAAGAAATAGAAGAAAATTTAGAAATACCTCGAGATGTAGCAAAAGTACATCAACAACCACAACAACAACAACCACGCCCCCACCATAGGCACAGGAGAAGTAGAAAAGGGAGAAGAAATTAAGACTATTGATTCATTTTAAATGCCAAGAAATGTTTAAGACTGCTATCAAATTTTTCCCTTTAAAAATTGACTTGAGGTAGGTTGAGTAGGATTTAAGACAAAAGACTTTTTGTCAGTATTTTTCTCCGAGTTGTGTTCCTAATGGCAGAAAGAAATGGCGAATTAAAAAAAAAAAAACTTTAAAAAACGAACAAGCCAAAATAATACTGAATTTCTTATCTATTTATTCTTTTTGTAAGCAAAATGTTGAAAGAAAATGTAACAAATATTAACACATTTCAATGGTGAAAAGTATCGATTATTAATAAAATTCCTTATTTAATTCTTCATCTCTCAATATTTTAAAGACGCAATGGAAAAAAAAATTTCAGGGTAAAATTAAATTGTGATTTATTTTGTTTGTTTGAATAAACCAATAAAACAGCTTTCTCATTTTTTGTCAGTTTTATTTTATTATTTATTGTGCCAACCACAATCACCCTTTCGTCCCAATCACTGCTTAAAATCCAATCCAAGCACAGTGTCTCCATTTTCTGTTAAACTCATCCACACAAGAAACAAGTCAAAGAAAGAATATTTTTTCTTAAACAAACTACATTAAATTTATCATAAATAAGCCTGGTTAACACAAATTTTAAAAAAGAAACTTACTATACCAAAGAATAAAACAATTAGATTATAATTATTTTATCAGAATTATTTATTTAAGAGGTAAAAGGGTTATTAGGTTTAGTATGGGCAAAATTATTACAATTTATTGTGAAATTGTTTCATTTGGGCAAACATGTTATTCCAGATGGACATAGACCTCTCAAGGCTATCTGCAAAAAGGAATTAAAAGCTATTGCTTAGCAGAGTAAACTTTAAGTTGTGAGATTTCTCCTTGTTGTCTGGCGGAGTGATGAACTTGCAATTTGGTCTGCCTATTTTACTGTCATTTCACATATTCATTCTTGGGCTAACCATCAAAGATAGGCAGATGAAAATGACGTAACTACCAGATAATAATCAAGTGTTGATTATGTTAAGTTTTCATGTTTTCACTTCTCTGCTGAATGCCCAATTTAATGAAAACAAAGTTTTGATTTAATTAATGGAAATAATTGGGTTTATTAGTGCCCTATTTACAATATAAGTTGAGATGGGAAGTTGGTGTCAGTCTATATCAAAGACTTGAGAGCTGAAGTGGTAGAGCAGCGGCGTATTTAGCTGAAGGTCGTGGGTTCGAATCCCGCTCGTGACACTAGCTTTTTTATGTCAACCAATACCTTACATAAAGATTAATCACTTGAAAGAAGTTATTTGGCCAATTGGACTACAAAATATAACGGATAAAATATTATGTTGCTTTTAGAACTATGTCTTTAAGTTAATTTTTAATTAATTTACCATAATTATTTTCTTTGATTTGAAATATTTATTAGTAGCGCAATTTTTTGTAATATTGACTTAATGAAGTGATATTTATACATTTAACAATTTTACAAATATAAATAAGGTTCTGTCAGACAGTCCAAGGTCTATCGTCTTTTACACTTCTTAACTCTATAGAATATAATTTAAAATAAAATAATTTTAAAAAATCTCAAAAAACGTGTCATATGTTTCTATATTTTCAAATTTGAACAAGCAGCCCGACAAGACAAAACATGTAGGAAGTCAAATTATGTATGTCACATCACTTGGAACACAGGCGACATATCAATCACACAGCAAACAACCGGATTTCGGCTAAGAGACGGGCTCTTTTGCAGCATCCACCATGGCCCTCATACCTTTGACGAAGGAACAGGAAGAGGCGATACTCCACAAAGCTGGGTACACAGCCACGAAGTTGGCCGAAGACGTGGCGGTCATCAGGGAGTGGTTGGATCAGCAAGAGCACCTTCCGCCGAGCAGAAAAAACGGTATGACGGTCATGCTACGACCTATTTTAAATTTCGAATGAATTTTGTTCAGTTCCACACAAAAAATGCCTTCATGATAGACAATATTATTTCATGAACTTTTTATTTATACATCCGTGAGTTGGCTCAACAAGAGACACATTAACAAATGGCCAAAGAATAGATAGGCAAAATATGTTTATTTAAATAGAAAATTTACTTTTTTGATTTTATTATTTTTTATAAAATTAGCCAATTTTATGACTGTAGGACAAAGAAAGAATAATTTTGGGCATTAAACACCAATTCAGACTAGTAAATTACACATAAATCGCCGGCCTTAGAATTCATTTATTTAAAGAATTTATTAAAAGGACAGCATTTTTTTCTATTAGGTTCTTATTTTTTAAGTTATGTTTTTACGTTTATGTCTGTAATTAATACCTATGGTACATACCCTAATTATTATATTTTATAAAAAAACCTAGTTATTAAAAGCAATACAACCTTTAAAATACGACGTACGTAAAATACGTACGAAGACGGATCGAAATCCCTCAGGCCAGCGTAAACAGACAATGTACCACGGTTCAATATGCTCTATGTACATAGCCAAGAGCTTAGCTTTACTTGATCCAAAAAATACGTAGCAGAACAACAAAACCGAACGTCCATAATCCTATCGGACAGTTGATTACAACGATAAGCAATAAGAGTACGGAGATCTTTTTATTTGAAAGCAAATTGATCTCCTTGCCAAAGGAACTGCTAGTTCAGGTTCTGCCGTTTCCGCACGTGCTAGAGAGAAAAGGAGGCACAAGACCAGGTATACTGACGGCTCCAAGACCGTTAAGGGTACGGAGCTAGGGTCTTTGGGATGAACCCCAAGACCGAACTGACGGTAAACCTATGCAAGTTTGCAACAGTTTTCAGTCTAAAATCATAGCGATTGAACAATGTGCCAGAGAAATAAAAATGCTAGGAATATGTATATTCCCGGAAGATAGCCACTTTCTCTGACAGCCAGGCAGCACTCGGGGCATGCGAGGCGAACTGCATGGGGGCCCTGACGGAAGTCAGCGACACTAATGACCTGACCCTGGCATGGGTCTCTGGACATTCGGGGAATAGAGGCAACGAAAAGGTTGACTTGGCGAAAAAGGGAGCCAATATGGACTCTATGGGCCCAGAACCCTACTGCGGCCTAGCAGTCTGCCACAAAAGAGGATACATCTTAAAATGGATCCTTAATGAGTTCAAAACCTGGTGGAACAATACCACAGGTATGATGCACGCGAAGAGATTCATAGAAGGACCATCCGCAAAACTTACGAAAGAACTACTGGAAGGCAACCGCAACCGAACCTGGACTCCTGACGGGGCACTGCCACTTAAGAAAGCACATGCACCGGATAGGAGTACAGAGAGAAGAAACACTGTGCAGATACTGCCAGGAACAGGAGGAAACCGCAGAACACATTTTATGTTTCTGTGAAGGTCTTTTGTAGGTGCAGGTTCTTGCAACTAGGACAAGAAAAACCACAAGCAAGATCCTACACCAAGGAACCGCTGGCAAAACTGTGGAGGCTGGTAATAGCCTGAAGCTGGCCAGTGAGTTATAATTAACAGAGAAGCACAATAGGTCTATTTAGGTCGAGGTGCAGTAGGCCTTCAGGCCGCCTCTCTTATCCCTATCCCTATCCCTAGAGAGGAAAGTAAGGACATGACGTAGACACATTTAGTGAATACAACCAAAAATACCGCCTAAACTGTGGTTCAGCTATATCAACGGAACAGGGAACTTTTTACACCCATCTGCTGACTTCGCCTAACCTGAAGTTTGCCATGCAACCTTTACAAAATGAGCATTTGAGTGGATTGTGTAACATTAACCGGTATGTAACCATAGCACAGGAACATCTTGTATCCTGTCCCTTATACAAAAAAGGGGATATAATTTGTTGTGGCGCAAAGTTCCGTTCTTGCCACCAAAAACAGTATAGTCTGACCAACATGACCTAACCCCCATCAGCATAGGTCGGGGTAATAAGTTGGTTGTTTAACTAGTGGGTAAGTGAGGGTCGTACGAGGTGGGTTTCTGTAGTCAGGGCGCTCTGAGCATAAGTCTTCATTTCATCTTACTTATATATTTATTTGTACTGAAATAATTCGTTTACATTGTAGGCGTAAGTCAAGCATTTTATCTTATTTGTATTTGTATTGTAATTATTTGTTTAAATTGTGAAAACTGTTGGTATTTCACTAAAGATTGTTGATCCGAGCAGAAATATTTTCACAACCCACAATTTCAGCTTCAGCCGAATTAGATCATTTTTTAAAAATTTGTTTAAAATATATTTATTTATTTTAAGTGCCGACAAATCACGGCATTGATCATCGCCAATCGGTTTTGCTTTTTCCCTGTCTTTCTGCTAATTTTGTTTCATGCTTTTTCCATCCAAGCAATAATGTTATATGATATAAAAATAACTGGCTCTCTTTTTTTTATATTCTAGCCTCTTAGGGCCTCATAAATTGTGAATAAAATAATACAAATGCACGGAAACAAGATTAATACTCACACTATAGAGTACCCAATATTTCTCTGGATAATTGGGATTAAACCCCTTTTTTCACACTAATAAGTTAAATTCACATTCCTCCATATGCCTCTGCTCGATATACCTCTGGGTAATTGGGGATAGCCCCTTCATTCACGCTACTAAATTACATTCACGATACCTCAGGATGCTCGATACTCCTGTAATACAGATAAATACATTTGTTCCAATAAATATTACAATAGAAAATACACAATATATTTTTGGCTCGGAGATATTCGATTAGCGATCTGTGCCTGTTGCCGAGTCCCAATGCCGCCGCGCTTACATCATTCGGGATGTATTTCTTTTTTATGGACTTACTTAGTTCTGTCTATTATGTGTTCTAACTACATAATTTCTCCACACAACAGGCATCTGCGTGGAACACACACAAAAGGGGAAACATTGGTACACACGAAAGGTGTCGGCGAGTGATCTTGATATGACCTATGCGCAACCTTGAAAGTATGATCCTTTCCTTTCCAGGCCCAGCCTCCGCAGGCCAAGGACCGATCTCTTTTTTAAATTTGTATAATTTAGACGAATTACTTACGAACCAGCGTATTCTCCATTAATTTTTTTATTGCATTGATAAACGTTCTTTTGGGCGCTAGGGTCGTGTGGTCTCATCGTGGCTGATTTCGCTACCTTATCTGTTTGTTCGTGCCCCGTTATACCAATGTGCTCTGGAACCCATGCCAGGATGACATCGATCCGTTTCAATTGTTCATATATTTTTTTTCTAAATTGCTCAAAAATGAATGGGGCTATTGCTAATTTTGTTTTATTAATTATTTTCCTCAGCATTTTTATTTTATTCCTATTATAAATTGCATTAAAATTTATGAGAAAGTATTATGTTCTTAATGAAGGAAAATTTAATTAAGGGATTTTAATATATAACAAAATAAAAGGTTGTAATTCCATAATTTTGTTTATTGGACGCAATAATTGTTTTAAACAATTAATACCCTGTATAATGTCCTATCTTAGCTAAAACCTCTGTGCATACATATAGTTAAGCATACTGTTGATAAAGTTGATAAGGAATTTCACTCCATAGATGTTGCAACGCTGCACTCAGTTGTTCCAGGCCAACTGGTTGTAGATGGTGAGCAAAAAGCCTTCTCGCATACCACATGTGCTCAATGGGATTGAGGTCTGGAGACAATGGGTGAAGGGGCAGATGGGAAATTCTCAGGTTTTCTAATCAATGATGAAAAACCCTGCCTCTATCAGGTTTGGCATCGTCATCAAGAAATCGAAAATCACTGCCAATGAGATCTCTGTTTTGAGGGATGTATTCCTCGATAATTTCTTGGACATAACGGACTGCGGTGAGCGATAAGAAGTCCAGTCCTCCAGTGTAAATCCTAGCCCAGGCCATTACACCGCCTCCTCCAAACTGCACTGCATCCCCTGTTCTCGATTCTTCGGCGCCTATTTTCATTATACAAACAGAAACACGCCTCATCAGTAAACCTAACAGCATGCCAATTGGTGTTTTCTTCTAGCCGCTCGCTGCACCATATTCTCCTGAGTTGCTAGTGGCGGGTTGCTGCCGGTGGTCTCAAAGGGTGATGTGTGAAAAAGGCCTTGCAAAAACATCTTGTATTTCATTTAGGATTTGGCGGGCACTAAGAAAAGGGTTCCGTCTTGCAGGAAGGACAATATTTCTGTCTTCCCTTAGCGTCATAATGCTCTGAGATCCAATACCAGGCCTCCTTCTGGCACATCCAGTTTCTCGGAATCGGGCTGAAGCCCGGGAGACACGCTGTGAGAAACGCCGACTGCCTCCGCGATATCCACTTCCCGGTGACCTCGATGACTCATTCTCACAATGATATTGCTAACTTCTGGTTCGAGATGTCTTTCCATGATTAAAGAGGATACAACTGGACTAAAATGGGGAAAAGACGAGAAAAGATGTTTGTTTACAAAATGAGTAATCTTCATGATTACTATTCTTAAGTAAATCCGTTGTTAAATATGAGGATTAACATTTGTTTTTTTTCTGGTTTGTATTTCCTATTTTGTTTGATCGAACTAACAATAATATATCGGTTAAATTAATTAAAATTAATAAAATAAGTGTAAATTACAAATATCCCTATTCATTTTTGAGCAGTTGTTGGTTAAATTATTTTTTTGCATTGAATTTTTTTTAATTTTCACGTTTCTGTTTGTAATGCGTATTCTGGAGAATACTCTCATCCTAGAATTGCAGAATTTCTTTCTTCAGCTTAGCTTTCCGATTAGGATTGCGATTATACTTCAATAACAGCAACAATTCGTTAAAATGCACTATTCATAGAATTGAATTTCCAGAAAACGATGCATTCATCACCAACTTTCTCCTTGGTTGCAAGGGAAAATTAAGCTCATGTAAGAAGAAACTCGACGCGTACTACAGTCTGCGATCCCACTACGGGCAACTGTTCAGCGACCGAAACCCCGAAGATCTCGAGCCCAGTCTTCAGTATCTGTGAGTCGATGTTACAAAACGCGTTCGGAAATTTTCAACTTAATTTCTATTTTTGTTTCGACAAGAGAGGCGATGACGATACCGAAACCCACGGAGGACGGATGCAGGATCAACGTGGCGGTCTTGACCGACCAGGAGTTCAATTTCGAAGCGTGCTTGAAAAGGATCCTTCTCGTTCTGGAAATCAGGCTGAGGAGTGAGGCGATTTACGCCGGTGACTATATCATCTCTGATGTCGGCATGTTTCTACCAAAGCACATATTCAAAGTTTCCATACCACTGCTTCATCAGTTCCTTCAATTTGCGCTGGTATGAAATACAATACAATACAACCCCTCCCCAATCCAAGTGTATTTTTTTATCAGTAAATACGTTCATTTCAGAAAGCAATACCGTACAGGTTGAAAGGGCTGATATTTTTCAACACAAGTTATCTCTTTGAAGTTGGTATCAACAGGTTTCTCAAGCCATTCTTAAAAGCACAGATTGCAAAGAGGGTATAACAATATATGACAACAATTTTTTTTATTACAATCAAATAACGAAAAATTTTTACAGGTATATATGTATTCAGAAGGAAAGGAGATTTTAAGGAAGCATTTTGATGTGTCATTTCTTCCTAAGGAATTCGGTGGGGCGACGTATGAAATCAAACCTCTTAGTGGTAAATAAAATCAATTTCAATTTCAGCTACTTACTAACATTGTTATGTATATTAATATACATATGTACTATTTTTAAATTTTATTTCACAATGCGATAAAAATTAATAGCCTTATTAATATTAAACTTTCTAGGTAAGATTTTGGTCGAAATGAAAAAATTGTCAAAAGGTACGCTAATCAGCCTTGCAGGTTTCAAGAAGGAGAATAAGGATAGGGATAGGGATAAAAGAGGCGGCCACAAGGCCTGCACCTCGACCTGAATAGATCTATTGTGCTCCACTGGCCAGCTTCAAGCTATTAAACAGTCTTCACAGCTTTGCCAGCGGCTCCTTGGTGTAGTATCTTGCTTGTGGTTTTTCTTGTCCTAGTTGCAAGCACCTGCACCTACATAGACCTTCGCAGAAACATAAAATATGTTCTGCAGTCTCCACCTCTTCCTGGCGTTATCTGCACAGTGTTTCTTCTGTCTGTACTCCTATCAGGTGCTTGTGCTTTCTTAAGTGGCAGTGCCCCGTCAGGAGAACCAGAATCCTGGTTCGGTTGCGGTTGCCTACCAGTAGTTTTTTCGTAAGTTTTGCGGATGGTCCTTTCGCGTGCACGTACCTGTGGTATTGTTCCACCAGGTTTTGGACTCATTAAGGATCCATTTTAAGATGTATCCTCTTTTGTGGCAGACTGCTAGGCCGCAGTAGGGTTCTGGGCCCATAGAGTCCATATTGGCTCCCTTTTTCGCCAAGTCAACCTTTTCGTTGCCTCTATGCCCCGAATGTCCAGGGACCCATGCCAGGGTCAGGCCATTGGTGTCACTGACTTATACCAGGGCCCCCATGCAGTTCGCCTCGAATGAGGAGGCTAGAGGGCCCCGAGTGCTGCCTGGCTGTCAGAGAAAATAGTTATCTTCCCGGAATGTATTCCTAGCCTTTTTATTTCTCTGGCACATTGTTCAATCGCTATGATTTTAGACTGGAAAACTGTAGCAAACTTGCCTAAGTTTACCGTCAGTTCGGTCTTGGGGTTCATCCCGAAGACCCCAGCTCCCGTACCCTTGTCGGAATTTGCCTTTGGTGGTGTTCCTTTGGTCCATTCTTCCCGTTCTAGTATCAGTGCTTTGCACTTCTTTTTGCTCAAGAAGGAATCTGACAAGGTTCAACAGCCAATAGTGAACAGTAATCTTAAACCGTTGTTTGAACAACTCAAAATTAAAAAAAAAAAAAAAGACTGCGTTAGCCAAAATCCAAAATGTCTTCCGTGTTGCCAACACCAGATTCTATCTTTGAAGTCAAAATAAAACTTTAAACCTCCATATTGTCCAGACATCGTAGATTGTGGTTAATAGGTGTTTCTAATAAAAACAAAACTTGTTTTTCAAAAGGTGTCAGATGATGTCTGAAAAATGGCGAAAATTGATTTAAAATTAACTTATCTTTTTATGTAAGGTTTTGGTTGAAACGAAAAAGCTAGTGCCACGAGCGGGATTCGAACCCACGACATTCTGCTAAATATGCCGCCGCTCCACTTCAGCTATCGTGACTTCGATCCCCTCCGACACCAACTCTCCATCTCAACCTACAACCTTTCGAATTGTCCACCTTTTTGCCATTTTTCAATTCATTCGTTTCAACCAAAACCTTGCATAGACCTTTATTGTAAAGACCCGCCTATTTATCGGTACATTCTCCGTATTTTTAAAATTCTACCTTGCCATGTTTTTTAAATAACTTTATAATTATTTCACCCCGTGTCGCTTATTTCCAGAGTACTGGCTTGAAGAAGGAAAAGCGTGGAAGGAATGGTTCCTCACAGATGGCTCCGAGCTCACGGACGAATCGAAAAGACCCCAAAACCAATCCTATTTCAGGTCTTTTTGGACACCCCATGCCAAACAGACGACGGCGACTTGATTTTTCCTTTGAAGGATGCTCGAATTGTCCTCTGCCAAAAAAACAAACAAAAACTCAAATATTTTCTTTTACATCACGTATTCATTTAAATAAATAATTTTGGAATGAAAACACAATTTTCTTTGACCATATATATGAATTTAAAGAAAAAATATATATTTTTTTTAATTCATACATATAAAATGTTCAAGGCTTTTGATTTAATTTTATTAACACGACTGGTCTTATTTACATTCAGAAGTAGTTCACCTCAGGCTAGAAATATTTACAAGTTAAAAGGGTGATGACAAAAATTATTTCTTTTGATCACGAATGAGCAGAAATATAGCAAAACAAGTGGTTAAATTGTAGTAATTGGACAAAAATACGTATTAGACAAGAAGAGTGTGTTTTTATCTATTGTTCCATTCTGAGTTTAGTCGTTCCCGATCATACTGCTCTGCCTATGCTTTATTTATTTTTATTTTTTTTTATTATTTGTAATAAATTTACATAGAACAAGTTCCAGGGGAAGTGGCGGGGCACTATTACATTCCGTTACAATAAATTCATCTATTTGATCCCTAGTCTAAATATAGAGGATTTAAAACTATTGTGCTCGTGGAAAATTACAAAAAACAAACAACAAAAAAACACAAAAATAGGATATCAGCAAAATGAAATTAGATACATATTGAATTGAGTAGCTTTAGCGATATCACAGGAGTAAATGATATGTGCAAATATAATAACAATATAAAAATAATAAAATGTTTTTGTAATATTTTCTTTACACGGCAATTGTCATAGACCAAAATGCGCTTTCAAGCTCGTCAGATCAGCTAAGAGAAATTTGAGAACGCAATAAATTAACTTGATCATAGGGAACGCTAAGCACAATTGGAAAATATCAACCCAGTCCCATTTTTTCCATGTGTCAAAAAACAACCCGGGCACGTTCTTCAATTTGACCGAACATTTGCCAAAATAAATTCATAGAACCTTTTGAACACATCCTGGGGCAAGTCAGGGCAATACCTTTAGTCTATAACGATATGATTACAGTACAAACTGGCAATTTCCTGTCTATTTGTTATGTTACGTGTTGTACGAAATTTCTCACGAGGTTTTTTGAAAAGCATTCTATTGTGTAATGGCAAAAGGTGCTGAGTACGATTCCCCATTGTTAAAATAACATCGATGCTATTATATGCTTAATGTTACAATCGAAGTTATGTTGATTGTGAATTTCAATTGAAACTAGCTGTTCAAATGAAGTTTTCACTTCAAACTTTATTTATTCTGATATCGTGAGATGCGGTCTGGTGTGATGTAGGTTTCAGAAAAACATTTTCTTTATCGTGCCAACGTTTCGATCTTTATTGAGATCATCTTCAGGGCCTGGGATTTACAAACATTCTTTACATTTAACAAATACATTTAGGATGACACGCAAGAATGGCACAATTACACAGAAGACAAACACTTTGAGTGAGCAGAAATACTTTGATTGAATATAAAATATATTTTGCATTGTATAAATTCACTTTTCCACATCCTAAATGTATTTGTTAAATGTAAACAATGTTTGTAAATCCCAGGCCCTGAAGATGATCTCAATAAAGATCGAAACGTTGGCACGATAAAGAAAATGTTTTTCTGAAACCTACATCACACCAGACCGCATCTCACGATATCTGAATAATTATCGATTAACGGTCACTAATCTCTACAAATTCAAACTTTATTTTAATTAATAGATCAATTCAAGTTTAATACTAAATCATGGGGAAAACTGTGAAATATACAGATTTTGAAATAACATTAATTTATTGCTTCATAAAAAAAAATTGTCGATCATCCTATTCTGTCTATATCCTTTTGAAAGTTAGCTAAGGTGATAAACATATAGCTGTAGTATAAGGTGTTGGTTGAAATGAAAAAGTTAGTGTCACGAGCGGGATTCGAACCCACGACCTTCGGCTAAATACGCAGCGACGTAACTTTTTCATTTCAACATATATATATAAAGAATTAAAGAATCTCATTACCATGTGGTATACCAATAAGGGACTAAAATAAAATATATGTTTCAATTACAGTTTGAAAACCATGTAGACGACATTCCCCTCAACAAATAAAGAGGGTGGAAAAATAATATATATGTATCATTCGCGTAGTCCAGGTATAAATACTTTTATTTACAAAAAATTGGAAATTATTGATGGGTGTGCCTTCAGATTGGGAATTATACCATGGGATTTCTCTATGTTTAGTTTCTGATGATGGGCTAGGAGCCCGAAACGTCCATGTAATTTACTAAATTGAACAAAGGTTTTCAACCACGGAGAACTTGGAATTTTTCAACCTATCAATAGAGACTAAAATTATTGTTTGCTCAATGGTGATATAACCTGGGATACAAAAAAAAACCAGGAAAAGGAATTGTAGCAATGACAGTCAATGACCTAGCATTCCTTAAGGCATAGGAGAAGGCTGCAGTGTCTGGAGAACGAAAAACCCAGACTTCCTAGTATCCATCATCATCACCATCTCCTAAAATTATTTATTTTTAAACGATTAAAGCCTATTTCTAGGTGGATTTGTCCTGAATTTTGATTATCCTGAATTTAAATCTTAATGTAGTTCTTTCGTTTACCATGTCCTGTTCCGCTTATGCTCGCTGTTTAACATTTCTTCGTGATCAGTTGTTGGGTCTGTCACCGACAATTTTGGTGAGATGTGAACCAGTGGCTCGATTATCTCCGAGCTTGTAGATTATGTAGGGTACGTTTCTGTAGTGGAATAAAAAGGAAAGATCGAAACAATATCACACAGAACGACCATAAAGATCGGTTGCTAAAAAACGCATCTGACCAAAAAGCGATGACCGACAGACGCAGCATATGCGACCATACAGTCATCGTCCCATACACCTCTAGAAGAAATCCGGCAAATCTATGATTTATTTAAATAATTATTGGTTTTTGTTAGTCAAACTTTTACGGGTGGGTTTTAATGAATTGAAATGCTTTTGGTTTTAATAATAAGGCAGTAATTATTTATAGTTTGGTCGTTCTTGATCTTGGTCCGTTTTTCTTACAACTTAACTGGTCGTCATTACGCCACCTTTGGTCATGGGCCTCATTCCAGTTAGATAATGACCTGCAACTTGATTTCCATTCAGCTAAGTATGTAAAGCAAGTAAAGTTCTACGGGAAAAATGTTTAAAAAACACAACAACGAGGACAAGCTTAACAGATCTGAAACGACCAAACCACAAGTCTATCACTACCGTCCAACGTTAATTAATCAATACGAATAACACCTTTCATAAGTATTTTATTAGTGGATAAGTACGGAGTCATCATAGTAATCACGAGGATTGCTTATCCCCCACCTTCGATCCCACTCATGGTTAAATTGTGAAAAATTTTCAAGGAAAAGCCAGTCCTTCGTCGCTTACCGGTCGGCCTGATAGACAGGACTCAAACCCACCCGCCCAAGCAAGTATGATTTTTCTTTCAAGTTTCAATAAATTTTCAAAAATAATTGTTTTGTGTTTTTAAAATATATTTAACTTTATTAGCTTAAGAGAAAACATTTTATAGCGAAACTTCAGTTCAGCCTAGAAGTACACCTTCTGGAACGTTTTAAATCTTTTCAAGAAAAAATTTTTTTTTTTTTTTAATTGACGTTTTTAGAATAATTTTAATCCTTTTCCTTCTTCCTTTTGTACTGTTAATTTTGTTTGTTCTAAAGGGCGCAACATGAAATAACGTCAATCTTCCATTAAACACTTGTAAAAATTTGTTTAAACCAATATTGAAAGGAATATTTTTCGGGATAAGTCAAGCAACATCAGTTAGCCAGATTGTAAGAGACCATATTTATTTTGTTTCCCCCCCCCCATTGTTTCAATATGTCACATCTGTGTATATTTACTTCCGAAATTGACGACACAAATCGACTATTCATTAGAAATTGACTTTTCCTTTTCATACATTACGGTTTTGTACTAGATAATTAAACCTACAAACGTAACATACTTTTTTTTTTAGAAATCGTGAGATGCGGTCTGGCGTGATGTAGGTTTCAGAAAAACATTTTCTTTATCGTGCCAACGTTTCGATCTTTATTGAGATCATCTTCAGGGCTCAAAGTGTCTTTTGTCTTGCGTGTCGTGTCGAGAGTTTTTCTGAAACCTACATCACACCAGACCGCATCTCACGATTTCTAAATAAATATCGATTAACGGTCACTAATCATCACACGTAACATACTTTGTACAAAAGCGATACAGTCACGTCATGTCAATAGTCAATAGTTGAGAAGAAACGTCCAAAAGTGACAACAGGTTTTGACAATTGTACCTTTTATTGTAATTGTTGAATAATCGATAATAAAGGATAATTTATTTTATTATGTCAATTTAATGTACATAATTACATATTGTTCTACCATCCTCAGGAAGTTTAGAGTTCTTTTAGAGTTTTTTTACAGTTCTTTGTCATAAATTTACATTTTGTTCTAACAGATTCATTTTTTAAAGCCAATTCGACTTGGAGAATATCTTTGTCTTGAGAAAAATCCATGAGTTACCACATAACATTCAAAAATATATAATTTGAACCCTCAGATAATCTCTATTCTCTAATGAATGATGAAAATTCGACAACCCTTGACATCTTGTATTGAAGAAAAAATTCTTTGTTGATTTTACATTTGTTGCTCATTTGTTACCCGATTCAATTTATTTTATCGGTAAAAAAGTAAAACTTAGGTCTCGTTATTATTAACGTAAAATTGTTTAGCATAAAATGTAGGAGTTGTTTTTAATGAATATAATCATGAGTAATGACAAAAAAAAACGAAGTCATAAGATGTCCTTTGCCGCTGAAGGTTAGCTTAGAAAAAAAATAAAATACTTTTTGTTCTAATTTGATATATATAAATATTATATAAAACCCGGCAAACCTTGCATCGTTATATAAATAATAAATATAATTGGACATACGTAAAACAAGGACGGTATAAAAAGTCTCGTTGCGAAAATCAATGCTAATAATGCGTTTTTCCTGTTTTAAATTACAAGTAAGTAGAACTTATTATTATTAGTATGTGGTAGTATATACCAGACAAAGGACTTTTATTTATTACGCTCCCTATTTTATTGTAAAACTTAAGATGGTTCCAACAATAATTTTTAAATAGTCTGCCATTTCGTGAGACTGGTTTGATTAAACTTAATGTAATTTTTGTGTAAATAATTTTATGAATGAATAATTTAATGGAGTGTAGGCAGCTTGAACCCTAGCCTTTAAAAAAAATGTAGTCTGCTAGTGCTATTAGAATTTTAATAAGTTGGCACTTTAAGCCGACTTGATGATCAACTTTTTTTCAAATTTTTGATTAGGTTTCGTGGTCCGCTTGACCAAATAAATAAATTCTTTTCAATTAATTGAGGTTTTGGTTGAGATAAAAAACTCAGTGTCACAAGCGGGATTCGAACCCAAGACCTTCGGCAAAATACGCCGCTGCTTTACCACTTGAGCTATCATGACTTCGAACCACTCGGACACCAATCCCATTTCAATCCCAACTTTTGAATTTTCCCTCCTTTTTGCCATTTTGCCAAAAAAAAAAAAATAATAATAATAATAATAGCAGAAACTTAAAAATTCCTCTGCTAGTAATGGAAATGTTGAAGTTTTGTAACTCAGAAGTTTCAGAGCTTGACAATTTCAATTTATCGTGTAGCTGGTTTTTAAGAGGGGACAATTTAATCGAATATGATTATTTTAAAACCTAACTTTAAACAATAATAATCAGTTAAACGATAAATGGAAATTATCGATTTCTGAAGGAAAACTTCAATATCTCCCCAGAAAGAATCCACTAATTTTTGGTATATTTTTTTAGAACGGAAATAACTTTCAAAATCAGTGAAAAATTTATCGATTCGTTCTGTAGATATTTTTTTTTAGAAGTTAATAGTTTCAAATTATCGGATTGTTATTGTTTAGTTCCGTTAAAAAAAAAAAAATCAACACAAATTAAATTTTCATATTTTATTCAATCGAATTTTCTATTTTCTCATTTTAACGAGTTACACATTAAATTGAAATTACAGAGTTCGAAAACATCAATATCTTTGGAACAAATCGATGCATTCTATTTTAAAACTTACATTTTGACATTTTAACAAAGTTTTACAATAAAATAGGCAGCTTTTATTAACAAATTCAAAACTGCCATAATCAGTAAGCTTAAAATACAATAAAGGCATTTCGGTGGGTGATATTTAGTAAAGGCATTATTTGTAAATCAAATTATTAAGGTAGCCTTATATAATAATAATAACTACTAAATAATAAGTGGTATCAATTCGTATTAAAAAGAAAACAAAAATGTTTTGTTGGAAGTTCTTGAAGATTCGTTCTTTTTTTCTTATATGAACGTGAACAGTGTGCATTTTGTTTATGTTGTTTTTTACCCTTCGATCTAAAAATGTAATAAACAAGAAATTTATATAGTCATAAATTTTTTAATGGTGTTTTTTGGACAAAAACCATTCCACGTATAATTTTTTTTTTGATTTTCCAAAAATGAAACGAGACTGAAGATGGGAAGCTGGTGGCCCGAAATCGATATCGCTTCAATAAAATATGTCTTATGGTTGTTTTTTCCTGAAAAATAACGTCAAATAAGCCAACAATCAGGAATAAAGAAGAGAATAATTTTATAAATTAAATCAATAGGTCAATGTGACTTTTGTTGAATGTGATAAATTAGCTTTTCTTTAAATTATATTATAGACTACCTGGTCATTATCGGTTAAGTGCAATTCTATTATGTTGTAAACCAGGAATAAACAATTTAATAACCAATCTCAATTCAAGGTTCACGGATTTTTCTCAGGGTATAAACACCGCCTAATGCTAACTTGTGTTTTCCAAGTTTACATCGAATTGACCATTTAGAACGAATTCTTCATTGTTCTTCCGTCCTTGCCGAGTCGCGTTCAATTGTCGGTTCTCAGGGTAGTATTTTTCAACGCAATTTCTCTTGCCTGGCGTGTCTCTTTGGAATAAATCTATTGGAATTGGTTTAATTCTCGTTGTGCAACAATTATTTTGACTGATTTTATTTGGCAACTGGGTGATTTCACGGGTGGAAAAGGTTTTCCGTTCTGGGTGTCCTTTATGTATGCTTTATTTATAAACCACCCCTAAAGCCGCTAACCACCCCTAAAGCGATATTTCAATATTATTTCGTCGGTTTCGGCTATTTAATTTTCACACAAACAAAGCTTGTTTTCGATTAATCCCTCACCCCGGGCCAACCCGTGAGAAACCGTGAGAATTCTATTTTGTTCCAAACGTTGAAACTTGGCAGTTACAAAGCTGCATGGCTTGTAGAATTTTTATGCCAATGTTCATTAACACAAATTTTAGATAGTTAACGATGAAAGTAATGAACTTTAAACGCGTGAAAGTCTTTAAAGACCTAAATTTGGTGATTATAACGGATTCTTAAGTGTTAAATACAGTAATTCAAATGTAAAACAATTATAACTATCGTAGCTGCAAAAATTTTATAGAATAATAAAACTTTAGTGATTAAAAAGTCTTAATTCAAGCAACAAAAGCTGAAATGAACAAGAATACAATTAAAACAATTATAACTATCGCAGCTGCAAAAATTTTATAGAATAATAAAACTTTAGTGATTAAAAAGTCTTAATTCAAGCAACAAAAGCTGAACAAGAATACAATAATGTCAACATGGAGTTTCAAATTTGATGAATGTGCAAGAAAAAAAAAACAAAATTTGCCACAAAAAAAACAAAAAAAAACAGCATATTATTTCATTTTTAGGATATCACTTAATATTTTATTTTTATTAAGGTAACAAAAATTATTATTTGGCTCTTTATAATCGCAAATCACCCTGATATACTAATTTTGTCTGTCAGACGCGGTTTCGCTCGCTATCTTCAGTGGTCGGCCTTATGTTATTATACCAGTCGTGTCTTTTATACTTTGCAAACACAAAAAGAAAATTGCTGGCAAATTACACATCTGACAGGAAGACCAGCAGGATGGAACATGAAAATTATAACCACTTTAATTTACCTCATCACCAGTTGGTTTCCACTCGTTTCGCTACACTATCTAGATAACTATATCATCATCTCTTGAGCAAAAACAATATTGCTCGGGTGCCTTTTTCAAAATAGATCGAGTGTTGCTGTTGCAGCTCAAAGGCTTTTTTCCTTACATACCTTTTAATAATTAAATCCTATCTGAATGTCCAGTACTGCTGCATCTCTCAGAGAGCTGACTTATTATATTTACATTAAAGTAGTTTCCTTCATGGCAGTATCCCAAGGCCCTTCCTATTCACAATATACATATTCTCTTATGCCAAAACACAAGTTACAGACAAAAATAAGCGATAATTGGCAAACCAGGATGATCTCTGACTATCAAGCTACAATAATTTTAAAGTTAAACCTGATTTATTTTCTAGTTTATTAGATTAATAATTAGATAAATTTATTAAACATTATTTTCAAGTTTCTCAGACCAAAATCCATCTTGGTGCTGGATGTTGTTTTTCCTCTAGTTTTTTCTAACTCTTATTCATTTTTGAGATTTCCTCTTGGCGTCTGTAGGTGAGATGAACCTGTAATTTAGTAGTTTCCAATCATTTTGGTCTACCTATCGTCTTTGTTTTGGTCTGTCAGAAATGTTTCAGCTTCTTACGATCTTATGTGGAGTGTTATTTTCTCAATTGTGGACTGTTAATAAAGTTAATTTATAAATACTCAATTAATTATACACAATTTTTTTCGAAATGAAAAATTTGTGTCACAGGCGGGATTCGGACCCACGACTTTCGGCTTAATACGCCGCTGCTCTACCACTTGAGCTACCGTGACTTCGATCGCCCATGCCACAAACTTCTCATTTCGACTACCCAATTTTATTCTTTGTAAGTAAATCGCGGATTCATATATAAACACTTTTTATTAACTCTAGATTAATACTAAATTTTTTAATTATTTTATCAGCTTCTATTTAAATATATAAATACTCAATTAATTATACACAATTTTTTTTTAGAAGTTGTGGCATGGGCGATCGAAGTCACGGTAGCTCAAGTGGTAGAGCAGCGGCGTATTGAGCCAAAAGTTGTGGGTTCAAATCCCGCCTGACACAAATTTTTCATTTCGAAAAAAATTGTGTATAATTAATTATTTATATATTTAAATAGAAGCTGATAAAATAATTAAAAATTGTAGTATTAAAGTTAATTTATATTCTGGAGAAAATGAAGCGAATTGGCTTTACTAATGCATTACCAACAACTTTGTTTTTTCCTATATGATTTTTTTAGTATTACCAACAAATTACGTATTAAATATGAGTGATCTAGTTTATAAAATTCTATTTTGCTAGTTAATAAGGAAGAACTTGATTGTATGTCTTTTAATTTTCAGCTATAGTACAAACATTGCAATCTTTTTAATTTAAAAATGAAGTTGCTTGCAATACCCACTGAAGTGGAGAATGACATATTCAAAAGTATCAATTATAGCCGTGCTCAGCTTATGATGGATTTACAAATGTTGAAAAAATGGCTCGCCACCCAAGATCATCTTCCATCATGCAAATTTTCTGGTATACACTTTAAGGCATAATTTATTTGTCTGTTTATTAATTTTTTTTTTTTTTTAATAGAAAATGACAATTTCTTCTATTCTTATCTTATAAGCTGTAAAGGAAGTTTGGAAATGTGTAAGAAAAAAATTGATGCCTATTATACATCAAGGAGAAAACATTTAGATTCATTTGGCATAATCGATCCTTTGAAAGCTTGTATCACCCAATGCCGTGAATATTTGTACGTTTTAAAATATATTAATTGCTAAATTTTTGTTTTACAAAAAAAAAACACATTTTTCAGAGATGTATTCTCATTGCCTCAACCCACTCCTGATGGCTCAAGAATAAGCTTAGTCAGGTTGAAAAACTCAAGCCTTGAAATATACGATTTTCTCGCAACGATACAAGTCATGTTATTAATAATGGAACACAAGCTGAGAATGGAAGGCATTACAAACGGTGATTATTATATTTTAGATGCCAAACCAGGTTACACGCCAGCTCATATTCTAAGGATTAACGCATCAGTTGTAAAAGATACAATGATTTATTTATCAGTGAGTACAAATGAACAAAATTGAGTAGAACAATCTTTGATCATTTATTTTTTACTTTAGAATGTATTACCATGGCGAGTACGAGGGTTGATTTTTATCAATGCGCCATCTTATGTTGAAATAGCTGTCAACACATTTTTCAAGCCTTTCTTAAAGAAAAAAATTAGAGAAAGGGTAATATAAAACTTTCACAGAATTTTTAAAGGTTTTTTTTTTTTAATTGTAATTATTATTATTTTATATTTAGATTACAGTCACAGAGGAAGGTACAACTTTATTACATAGATTGTTTCCCGCCAAAATTCTACCGAAGGATTATGGTGGTGAGAGTCCATCGTGCGAAGAACTAACTAGTAAGTTATAACACTTAACAACAGGAGTCTTCACATGGGATCACAGATTTCAATGAAACTTTTTTTTAGTGACAGTAGATTAAAAAATCTGTTTAAAAAAAATTCAAATTTTAGATTTCTTCCCTACTGGGATTCTTGTATTACCTTCATAACCAACTAGATGAAAATTTTGAACAATTTCAAATTACCAACATAAGGTTTTTAGTTGAGATGAAAAAAAGTTAATAGCAGAGCAGGATTCGAAATGTATTAATTGGTCAAGCGGACCATGAAATTAGTGAATTACCAACATACTTCATACCCAGGGGATGATGGTCTTATAGTTAGATTTATTTTATTTTCATCATTTATTTACATATTTAATCACAGCAGAGAAGTAATAAGTCTAATTTGAATTTGTTTATCAATTAACAAATTTTGAAATTAACTTTTAGCTTTTTGCAAAGCAATAACACACCACAATATTAACCATTTGATTACGGGCTTTAATTTCGCTAAATTTTTTCGATATACTAACTTCCTTAAGATTTTGTTCAAATTGATTGAGAGAACTATGAACACAATTTTTGGTCATACTAACACCTATTTTATTTGTACCTGGGGCCCATTAGACATAGCCTTGTCTAAACTTGGTTGTCCAAAAAATAATGCAGGTTTATTAATAAAATAAAAATAATTAAATAAATGATTTTAAGCATTTTTAATAATAAAATATCCTAATTTTTTTAATTTTTTGCTCCTGGTGCTTATTAGAAAGAGCCCTCGGACACTTGTTTAATATTTATTAACCTTGTGTCAAAAAAGAAGTTTCATTGAAATCAGTTACTCCACAACCTATTAAGGTTGTAAGTTTCTTTTCAATATTTCTCATAAACATTTGTTTAACAGGTGCCTGGATGGATAAAATTGAAGCCGAAAGGGACTGGTACTTGCAACACTGTACACCAACAACCGAAGAGAGCAAACGGATAGAAAACGACTGTTCGAATAAGAATCCAATTTTTGGGGTGCACGGTTCTTTAAAAAAATTATGCATTGATTAACGACCAAGATAGGACATTTTGGTTTATATACGAGAAACAAAAAAAAACACTACAATTATAAATTATTAATCACATACAGAAAACAAGAAAATCATTTAATGTATTAGGCTCCTACAAAAAAAGATGATACATTGTTTACTAATTATGTATTCAACTTCTTGCCTTTTGTAAACATAAAAGTGTAACAATTCGTTGTTAAATAAAATTGTGCTTTGTTAATTACTTAATGAAAGTTAAAACATTTTCAATATGTTGTTGGTTCCATATTCAAATGTGAGTGTTGTATCTATCCATCCTAAATTATATCGACGAAACTACACACGAGAAACAATGAAAAATATACTGAAATGTATTTTGCCTCGCGAACACAAGAAACAAAAGAGTAAAAAAGTATGCGGGTATACTTATTTCTAATATCACGTTTTATTACAAATTTGTTCAGTGCATACGTTAATCAGCATGAACTATATAAATGAAAAGTGTAAATTCCAAACATACCATTCAAAATTTATTAATTGTGGCAATTAAGGATTGAGACAATTGAATGTAATAAAAACAGCATATTTATGAATTTGATGTATTTTTATTTTTAAATGCTTTTATAATTTTAATATAATTGTCAATTTCTCACACACTACCATACACATTCATTATAATTAAAACTGCAATTTTTGTGTGTAATGAATTCATTTAAATTCTTAATAATGATAATAATAATAATGATGATGATGATAATAATAGTAATAATAAAGTAACACACATCATAATTAGGAATATATTTTCTTTTTAAAATTACCTACAAGTTCACAAAATTTAATTTTAATTTTCCTTTTTTTTAATTATACAGTTTGAATGTAAAACTTTTCTCACTAAAAATGAAATTTAAAAAATGTATACATTTATAAATTGAGGGAAATTAACAATAACATTTCAATTATTTTATATTGAATGAAAAAAATTAACAAATATGAAACATCTAATTTACAACAAACTCAGAAGATTGGAAGCAGTGATACTGCATTGTGTGTTCAAACCCTTAACTCTTGGACAGGAATTAAGGCAACATCCATTATATAATAAATTACCCATTATTTATGTCGATTTTTTACTTATTTTTTATGTAATTTTTTTTTTAAATCTCATTTAATTGATTTTTGTGTGTGTTCATTTTTTATGATCTGTTTCATTAAAACTTATTCCATTTTTTAAAGAACGATTTAAAACTTTTATTTTTGACATCAATTGTATATAAATAAATTTAAAAAAAGTTTGAAGATCTAACAGGCTTAATCCGTTTAAATAAATATATGAGTACACCTAAAGTACACGTATTTTGAATTATGGATATTATATACAGAATCACCACTTGGCAACAATTACCAAAGAATGGAGGTGTTTTTTGAGTCTTTTATTATTTTTCCCATTTTTTTATTTTTTTATTATGCTTTTTTTAAGTATTTTAAAAATATAAAATAGGGACACTTCACTGGAAAAACCAATATAGAGTTGTCAGACAGACAGACAATACAAATGAACGAATTGTAAAAATTCTAGGTGTCTTTGATCCCAAGGAGTATGCTAGTTTTTTTCTTTTTTGTACTTTTTTTCGGTCTTTAATATCTTGGAGGTCTGTCAATCTTTTAATTATTTCATCTTCTATTATACTTCACTTTGATGACGTTTATTTATAAAATCAATTGTCCCCTTCTTCATCCTCCTCTTCTTCGGATTCAGCTTCAGCAAGCCAAGTCAGCCATTGGTTCACCTACAAGGAAAAGTAAGTTTTAAAAAGCTTGAATAAAATTAAAAACAAAAACACACGGGAATGTACCAGTTTCTAGTGAAAGAAGGAATTGCTCCCTGCTCAATAATAATAAAATAAATGGTCTTTTAGGCATAATAATTATGCTAAAAAATCATCTGATTTCCTCAAGGCATAATAACAACGGGGGGAAAAAAAACAACAAATAAAAGTGGAATGAGAAACAATACTTATTAACTGAACTAAAGTTAAATTATTCCTTCACGCAACTGACTCATATTGAGGCTCAATGATGACAAAATGAATGTCATCACATCACTGCTCTACACCCATAGCACTATTTCCATGCAGTTCCACACTGCTCTCGAACAGTAGCCACCTGTTTATTTATTTTTAACAAACTGAAATATCTATCTTGGAAATGATATTCCATTATACAAAGTACAACCCAAACAAATGGCGCGAAATCTGTGCCATTGCCAGAGCGCCACGTGCCTGTCAAAATGCGCCTAGCTTCATATTATTCATCAGCTACTACTTTAAAACACTACATTGAAATTACATACTCATTTAATATTCAAAAATCATTTCAAATCCAGCACCAGGAATAACAGAGGAATAACTTAAGAAATGCAAGATTCAGATGTCTTAAGTAATGACACAAATCATGATTTTAGAGTGAGGTTTCTGCACACCAGTATCGGGTTGCTGGGTGTTAAATGGATAGTAGCATACAAAACAAAAGTAGATTGTCTTTTCATGGATTCAACTTTGGAGCCTGCTGGTATTGGCAACATGGCATGTGTGACGTAGCAGGGTGGGCATTGGTGATGGTAATATCAACAGGTACCACGTTGCAATCAAATAGCTTTCAGTTTCATTGCAGTTGCGGTTGGCCAAGGTGTTCTGTGTTTTGTACTACCATGGATGTATATAAATTGAACGCATTTATTCAAGATCCTTATTTTAAACAAAATTAAAAGAAAGTTTGTTCCAACACACAATCACAAACCAGTTACCAACTATACCAACTAATTCGTGATTATGATTGCACATGCCCGAATGTTAGACTGATCACGAATTCTAATTCTGATAGAACGCATTATTCCAATTTCAGACCCTGAGATTTTTGGTGGGAAAAATCGAAGCATTTGAAATTGGAAATGGATTTTTTTTATTATATATTTGTGCATTGTGTCTATCATTCTGTAATGGATATGGATGGTTAGGGAATATAGCCAGAGGTGTAGATGGGTGAATTCATATCCAAACATTTTCAAAGAGGCCAACTTCTTTCCTGGCGATCATAGAAAAGATAAACTGAGTTCTGCTGGCCTACCATATCTTCATCCATTAAATTATATACTCAAAATTGGGTCATTTTAAAAATTGTAACCCTTACAACGAATTTCATATCCATAACATGAAGATTCGCCATGACTTTAGTCTAATTCAAAATAGTAAAAAAAGATATTTTAATGCCAAGCATTATTTACAAAAATTGAAAAATATACTTGTTATATTCTTCCTTCTTCAAATTTTTTTAACTAATATGTGTAAATAAATTCTTTAAAAAATTGCCATAATTACATATTTTTGTTTTACATTTTTTACTTGGATATTTGTTCAAAAAATAAATACATATGTGTATATTTATATTTTATTTCACAAATAAATAGTTAATAAATAAATAGTTCAGTAAGAACTTCACGATTTGACATCAGAAAAAGTGCTGGGAAATATCTGCGCACGTCTCTGATTGCCAGTCCCTAATAGTATCGTCAAATTGTTTAGATGGTCCAAGACCAGTCACAAACCTGGTCTGAAAACGTGATAGATGGCCAATTGACAGTTTCAGTTAGGATTGAAGCTTAATGGAACGCCCAAATTCAACTGTACATGCGCCCACCAATTTACTGATGGTTTGGACACATGATGGAACAAACCTAATAGTTATACCATTTGTCTACAATTTCATTTTGCCACATGAAATAAATTTATCAACCGTTTTTAATTAAAAATGATTTTCCACAAAATATTTAACTACTAGAAAAATCAATTGAAAACTATGATTTGGTAAAGATCAAAAGCATTTCAACATGGATCAGCTTCGTAATTTGTAAAACACATTACATTTATATAATAATTTTTTTTTCAATCATTCAAGAATTTTCAGCTTTACCTGGAAGAGTGCTTTTCCTTTCCCTGGGTAGATATCTGTCACGTCCTCTCTCCATTTAAGGAATGCTTCTTCATCCACAATCTCCATGTTATAAAGATTCATGAACCAACGAAGTAGTAAACCTACGAAGATATAACGTTAACTTTAAGTATATTAAAGAGACTTCAACAAGGATTTTCATATAAGACAAATTTTGTACTGACCTTTGGGGAAATCATAAGTGAAACAGAAAACCTGGAGTGCGTAAACAGCAGTGACTTGAAGGTCGATGTTCTCGTTCAGGAATGTCCGGAGAACGTTTTTGAATTTTTCTAGCAGCGCTTTTTCCTTTTCAATGATCATTTTGTCATTCACAGTTTCATTCGTCAACTCCTTGCCTCGTGTCGATTCCTGTATGATATACCTCAGAGATACCGTTATGAGAGCTGTTATAAATGCAGATGTCGACTGTAATTCCGGGGCGACAGAATCCTTCGCACATTTATACAAAGACTGCGCCGAAGGCTCACGCTCTAACGCCGCCCAAAGTTCGGATTCAAGAACAAAAAGAGGCTCAAGGAAGACGAGGCCCTTTTCTTCCAAGACTTCGTTCAACCTACTTTTTGTCCTTTCAGATCCACTTAAGCAGTTCATTAGGCTCACCTACAAACAAAACAATAATTTAATAAAAATTGATAAATTGACTTCATTTTATTTTAATACACTTACTTTGGATTCCCTAAACATTTCCATGAGCCTTTCTTTGCCCAATTTCTTGTTTAGATTAGCTAAAGTAAGAAAAAGGAGTGGAAAATGTGCACCATCTTCTGTCAATTCTCCTAGTTGTGCTATTGTCAAACAGCCATCAATAATGCCCATCGATGCAAAACCTACAGAAAATATATTTTTGTAGAGAACAATTTCAAATTAGTTAAAATATCATAAAAGAAAGAAAGTCACCTGCGATATATTCACAAATATTAGGAACTGTGGCAACTAAATCAGGCATTGGTTTTAGGATGGATCGGAAGGCATCATGAAACTGAGATGATGTTATTGCTCCGTTTTTCTTAAGGATCATCAAAAGTGACATCACAGTCTCCCTGTCATTGTCTGAAATTGAATTTAATTGTATGAAGAAACATCTTTTTTAAAAGACATTTCAAACTTTTAAAAAAAATTACCAGTCTTTTGATAGGTATAAGCCAGCATCGAGCTAAGGCACTCAGGTATCAGCCTGTCCTGAGGTTTCAGTTGGGCAAAGTTTGCAGCAGCATCATCTATATTTGTACCAGACAACACCTCCTCAGCAATCGCAATAGCTTTTTTAATTGTTTCCTCCTTAGTTGCAGCCTGAAAATAGCACAAAAATTTAAACTAATGGAAAATTCCAAAATTTAATTAATTAAAATTAAAATTAACCTTCTCTTTTTTGTTTGGTTTATTACGATCAGCAGATGCTTGTTTGATTAAAATGGGCACTTTTGCAGACTGTATTGGAGCGTTTGGTTTTAGGGTAGATGGATTAATTGAATCACCAATTCCTGTTTTCCCTAAATTTGTTAGATATCAATACTTACAAAAAAGCAAATCAAAATTATACAAAAATTCAAAAATTACCAGGGAAAATGTGAGAAGATACTGGTTTGGTGTTTGGTAGTTTGATGAGCATAGAATTAGCAGGTGGCCTTAACGAAACCTGGTCGACATTCCCAGAATTCTCATGGCCAATTTGGATTTTCTTTACAAACCTAGCCGGAACGTCTTTTGAATCTAAATCCACAGGCATAAAAATAAATTAAATTGAACAAGTTCAATAAACTCTTGGAAAAAAAAGCTCATACTGGAAATATTGTTGGAGTTGTTATTATTGTTGTTGTGGTGGTGGTTATTATATCTATTTTGTTGGTAGAAATGATTATTTTGCTGGTGGTGATTGTGTCTTTGGGACCCTCGCTCCCTAGAAGATGAGTAGCTGCTGTTATGGTATCCATTTGAGTTGTTGTTATACCTGCAATATATACACAATTCAGACTTCTTCCAAACAAAAGGAATGATCCGGTGATGACAAAAGCTTACAATTTTTCAGGTTGGAGGAATGAAACACTTCCTGATAACATAATGTCAAGACCAGTAGTCCTCGTCTGTAATGGTCGAGGAAACAATTCCTGTTGAGGAGGCCTTTCATTTGTGTTCCCACGCATTATCTGACTACTTTCGTCACACAGCTAAAATACAATTACATATACATTACATTAAATAAAACTTCCCATTTCCTAAATTATATATTCAGGTCTGGCTATTTTTTATGTTTATTATATGGCTTTCCTCATTTAGATTTTAAAACAGATAATTGCTATCATGGGTATGCTTACCCATCTGTGCATAATTAAATCAATACTTGGCGTTCTTCTTGATACATTCGTTTAATATATTACAATAGAGAATATTAACAAAATCCCAGAAAAAATAACAAATTAGGTAATATTTCTATTTTTGGTAGTTGCTTATTAAAAAAAAATTGTTTTTCAGCTTTTAAAATGTTTTAATAAACCAAAAACAGCCCAGCCTTAACACATATTAAAAATAATATAATTTCAGATGCAAAAACAAAATACAACAGCAGAAAGAAAAATTAAACAGGTGTTCATGATTCATGTGAATTTTTTGTCTTAAGATTCAGTGAAATTAGTCTTTATTAAACAAAATAATCAAAATATTTCATTTGTGACAATTTACAGGTTTTAAGTTTTACTTGTACAAGAATTTAAAACTTAAAAATGTAAAAGTTAAAACACAATCAGCTGAGAAAATTTGGTTCATCGACTACTGTGAATAAGTTTTAGTTGTGAAGTGCATCAATTTGTGTTTACCTGATTCATAGGCAGTGGACCTTCAGTATTAGATGCCTTACGAGGGACCCATCCGTCTCTTCTCAGCTCGATGATGTCACGAAGCATAAAACGGATGCGGATAGGGAGATTCACATTCTTTGTCAGCTTTGACATCCTCTGAAACATCTGGTCCATAAGACCCTGAAAACAAAGATGAATGAATGGTTGGCTCTTGCTGACTGTCACAATTTGATTTTCAGTTTGGATAAAACGACTCACTTGTGCTTCGTCATTGTCAAGAATCTGACCGCAGGTCCTCAAGATCTGACAAAGGCACTCAATATCTTCAGCCATCTCTTGGTGATTCGGTTTAGATTCCAAAAGTTTTTTCATGCACGAAAATATGATACCTTTGTGTGCTATCTCTAATTTGCACAGTTCACCAATAAATTTGATGTTGCCTAAGGATTTGCGTTTATCACTGATTTGTTTTGACCTGTTCTCAAACTGAGTCTTGCAAATACTGAGTAAGATGCTTTTGAAAGTGCAAGGCTCGTCTTTGTTAGGACCAGGTGCCTCTTTGCAAAGCCTTCGGCAGAGCTGTGCGTACATAGAACTGTACTTCGGTTCATCTAGAGCTTTTTCAAACAACTGGAAATAAAGAAAAAAATAAAATTTTACATTAAAGAAAGTCATTTTATTTTCTACCTCGAATTAATTTATAGTTGACAACTTACCAGATGGATAACACCTTTGAGAATAAAGTTAGAATTTAGTTCTTCCTTCAGCAAGTCATCACTTAGCTTATCAAACTTCTCAGGTGTAAGCTTATTAAGGATTCCACGAACCTGTGAAAATTTGATTCATGATTTATACAGTTAAGGAAAAAAGGCATTCACTTTGAATTAGAAAAAAGCCTACCCTGCGGAAAGTGATGTTGTTTTTGTCCTCTTGGGAAAGAGCATTTCGCCTGACTATGGAAGGAGGAACCCAGCGCTTAGTTGCAGCAATGGCACGATTATTGTCCCTGAAGAAAACAATATAAATAATGCTATCACATCATATCAACACTGTACATTAATTTATGCTGTTATCTAAACAATGTAAGTAAAGTAATCTAATGCACGCATTCCCCCATTTTTTCCTTATCAACAATTAATCAGTTACGGATGATTAAAACCAATTGCCCAATGATACACGTTTTTAAATTGAATTGTCTGTAAAGAGATTATGTAAATAATTTCTAAAAAAACTTCTTCAAAAATTCTGAAAATGTAATCATCACTCTATAAATACAAAAATATAAACAAAAATGTAATTTTTTTTCCGAAGAAGTTGAATTTTTTGCCTGTTTATACACCAACCTTGAATTTTTAATTTAAACCGAAACAAGCTGTCCTACAACAACTAAAATTTTAATAACTTAATGCATATTGCCTGCCATACACTTACATTTAAAAAAAAATTTAATCGTTATATTTTCATTTATAAGTTTTCTCCTAAATTTTCTCATGTTTGTCCAGCCTTGGCATACTGCACTTCAGCCTTGGCATGAATAATTAGCATTTCATTTTTATTAACAACTAAAATTGTGAAATATATCTGAGCTAATCCTAGTCTGCCTAATGCCGTCAGTTTTGTGTGTTTGTATGTCAGGCCCAAGAATAGGCAGACCAGAACAAAGAAAATCATGTTGAACATCATAATTTATGTGTCAAACTGCAAAAACAAAATACAATTTGACATTTGGCATCCTACTAATTTTGGAAGTGTTTATATTGTAAACATGAAACTTAATAAGTAACCATTAATATTCATGTGAATTCATAAAATAAAAAATATTAAGAAAATTATAGTATTTAATTTGCAATGATAAGGAGTCAATTTTTTGTTTTGACTTTTTCAGACTATTTCTTTATATAAAAAACTTATAGTCATAATTTTATTTGTTAGAGAATTATATGTACAGCCTCTCACAGGTCCCGACAAAATCTTTTATATTTACTTGGTGGTCAACTTGTTTTTTACTGAATTAACTGGACTCATATTTCTACAGCCATCTAAATACATTAACAGAACCAGTGTTTAATCTCACTCAACAAGATTGATTCAAAATATACCAAATTCCTCACCACTCCCTGCCTTAAAAATAAGAGAAAAATGGGGGAAAAACATTAATTTGAAATTGAAAATTTTGACCTTTTTTAGGGGACCGCAGTAGCCGAGTGGTTTGTGAGAGACTCTCGGCTCTTAGACCCCTCGGTCGTGGGTTCGATTCCCGTTACCTCTGGCCTTTTTTTCACAATACCCTCCTCCCAATACGCGCATGCGTACTAAATCGTCTCCTTGGCTAATGTGGAGGTCATAAGGCCATTAAAATAAATAAATAAAGGCCTTTCTTTCCTTCAGAAATGTGCTTTTCCGCGTGTGGAATTGTAAACAAAAATAGCTGCCATATATTAAAATACATTCTATTATTAATACTAGATAGAATATCGAACAAACTAATATAAAATGTGATAAGTACAAAAAGACTGACAAAATATCTCCCAGGCACCAGCCCTAAAAACTTTTTAAAAAAATGTACCTAAAAAATACAATGGTAAAATTATGGTAAAATAATAATAAAGTTAAAAAGTTGGTGATGTGGCATTTCTTCTTAGGACAGAATAATACAAATGAAAGTGGTCTGACTAGAATCACTGGAAATGCCAAAACTATTCAACATGATGCAGAACTCAAGATGTACGTAACATTATGTACTTTAACTATGCTATTTAAGGTATGAATTTATATAGAAAAATGAATCCGTATGACTTGGAAGGTGTCAAGTTGTTGCAGGAGAATAAAATCTCGTCAGGAAAATTTTCCTTAAATTATTTTTGGTATCATCATTAAAATGTGTTCATCCATAGCATAAACACCATTATATTATGGCAAATACACCATTATTAATTAAATATTTTAATTATTAATTAACATATTTAATAAGTCAGTACAATTTTTTGTATTGCTGCGAAATGCTGCCTTTGCAGGCGACGCCCTTCGAACACGTTTGGAAAAACAGCATTGGTTGCAATGTTTATGTTGCAGTGTAGGCTACAGGCGATCAGGTTAAGAGACGATCGGGGTTAAAGACCCGTTGTTTCAATACCCTGAACTGACGCAGTTCGGTAGCCAACTTCGACGCAATTTTCTAGAATAATATTTAAAAAGATCTCGTGGGATTTTCAATGTTGCTCTTACCTTCCTCCGTTGACAGGAGAAGCCCCCCCTGCTACCGTAGGCCCTTCCGTTGTGGATCTGAATTAACTAACACAAAGCCCTCCTCCTACACAAGCTCCTGAAACAAAAAACATAAAAGAATTAAAACAACGGGGAAAAAAGTAGTAAAAGGTCCTTGGGTTTCCAGTCCCACGCGGAAGTTTGAAAAAAAACTGTTTTAACGTCTGTAAAAACACTGTAGAGGCCAAAAGGCACTCTTCTATTTATAGATCCTTTCTATGAACCGCTTTGTCAAGATCGAACTGAATCGTTTACGGAAGTCTGATACAAGGTGACGGTGTATTTATAAAACCCTTAGGTCTTTCTGTTACGACCGGAAGTTCCAAAAGTCACAGTGATAAATACATTTTTTCCTCTCCCTCAACTGAATCATTATACAAAGAAATATAAAAAAGTTATGTTTGTTTTTTACAGAATTACGTAAGAAATAAAATCTTGTTTTTTAAACATAAATCAAGTTTTAAGAAATAAAGACGGGAAAGAAACAAATTTAATCTTATCTCTAAGGGTATTTTCATTGAGGTTACGGTAGCAGTCGATGATACTGCGTAATGCTTCGAATCCTCCGAGGTCAGGCCGAACTTCCTGATTTTAAAGTTTTAAAATATGAAAATGGAACATAAAAAGTGAATCCTTTTGAAGTCGACCGTGATGGGAAAGAACATCAGCGTCGGTGCCTCATGGCCGAACAGGGTCGTTGACCTGGCTACAATAGACGGCAAAAATCACCATACAAACTTACTTTTAACACTGTGACAATTTTTAGAGAAGCAAAAAAACCCGGAAGTGTCGTCTGGCGCAGTCCCTTAATAAAAAGCACGGATCTACTTTGTTCTATTACTTTCGAAGGAAAAACGTTCACAGGAGGGAAAACCGTTTAACACTTTTTAAAATTTCCCCCATCCTCTTTCGGAACTGAATCGTAGGGGTGCCATGTCTGGTGTAGAATTGGTAGAAAGAAGATATAATCAATATTGTCTGGAGGGTTGAACCCTTGCTAGGGGGAGGGGGCGACCTATACCAAGCACGCATGCCTAAACACACACACACACACACACCAAGCCGTAAAATTATATCCACAAGGGGCGACTTAGTAGAAAAGAACTCACCGGGTTAAATTTAAAAAATAATTTTAAAAACAACTCAAAATTGCCGCAAGTTACGCCACTTGATGAAATCGACCGAACGGTACAAGATCAAACAACCGACTAAAGCAAAAGGCCGAGTGGGGAGAAAAGACCCTGAAGAGGACGAAGAACAGGGAGGGGGATCCTCGACAAAGGAATTCCATTTAGTCAGGTTTAAACCGTACCTTTTCCTATACCTACGATTTTCCCCCTTGCCTTGAAAACGCAGTCCTCAGAGGCGCCGAGGTAGGGAAAAACGGCAGACGGTAAATTAAAATGAAATTCGACAACTGGTAATATTTCTGCGGATTTGTCGACAAGTCATTGAGGTCCGTGTACGTACACGTGCGGTCGTGGGCCAATTTGGATGCACGTGCACTGTAGGTGGATGATGACGTCTTGCAATGATGTCACGGTTGCATCACAAGCATGCGCGCCTACCCCCGGTCATCACGGGCGGCGACCCCCTTTGCTACTTTCCATTCTTTACATAAATCGAAGCAAAATATGAAACTAACGCGATCCGATGCTCAAACTTTAAAGAAACCACCATCGGGGAAAAAATTAACATACAAATAATTGCACTGCTTCACACTCGAGGCGGTTCTGTTTGGACGTAGCACCTGGCAAAGTCAAGCCCTCAAATCATCACCCCTTTAAAAAAATTGAATATACCTACATAAAAAATGTTTTAAAAAATTGCAATTTTGATATCTTCATTCTCCAAATCAAAACATTTTTAGTGACAAATTTTCACAAAAACAGAAAGGTGGCAGGGTCATTGATAATCGCGCATTGATGAAAAACACACAATTGACTTTTGATTATCCTTTAAAATAACGTAACATCCTGGCCTATGCTCGCTGTTTTCAATCTATTTGGATTTTATCAGTTTCAGCTGACCTGAGTCTTAAAGAGTACGAGCAAGAATAACAAAACCAGGATGATCATGACGCTAAATACATTTAATTAACAATACAGACGTTTACTCATGCTGCTAAATTAATAAATATATATTAATAGGATAAGCAGACCACAATCATAAGAAACAACCAAGCTAGTTTCATCATCTAGAGGCCTTTAGATTTAATTTAAAACTGAACGTTTGTACTTCCTTGGCATTGGCCCTCACCGACCTGGCCTATTCTCGGTGTTTTCCTTTCCACGGATCTAAATACTTTAATTTTTCGAAAACGCCCCCAGACCGATAAATAGAGCGAGAACTGATGGACTGGAATGATCGGTAGCTGAAGAAAATAACTGTCGTGTAGCTGAAAAACCAGGTATAATTTAACAATAAAAAAATCGTTTTTCCGAGATAAACCATTAAACAACCACAATTACAAATTCTAATCGTTAAATTTTATAGCCTTATTTGTCTTAAATCAAATCGTATTTGATCATAAATTGACAGAACGAACAAAATTGCGCGTCGACGAAAAGCAATTTTGCAATTTTATTACAACACATCTGGCGACTAAAATGTCAAAATAACCCATATTAAACAATAATTGTAATAAATTATCCACTTTTCTCTCAAATTAATCAATTTTAGGCGAACGTTTTCCATAGTTAAAACAAAAATATAATTGGTCAAACATTTTTATAGACGAAAGTTACAAGTTTTATTAAGTTAAAAAAAGGAAAAACACCTAGGAGCAGTGTTAAATTTTACTTTTCAGTTTTTTACTTTTGGTAAGTACTTTCGAAAAGTACTTTTCACTTACTTTTTTTATAATTTTAGCCCGCAGTTTCTCTTTAAACTTTAACATACACATAAGCAGTAGGGAAACTGGGAGTCTGGCAGACAAACAGAGCGAGAATATGAGGACCAGGACGGTCATGGGCGATCAAGCCATTGTTAATATTCAAACAGCAAGCAGACCACAAAATGCTTTTATAAAATAAATGCACATCAGTTGACCACATTCCGTCTATGCACTTTGAATTTTGTAACAGCAGATTCAATTTGAGAAATGCGGACCAGGATGCCCGACGGTGATCAAACCGTTAAAATTAAAACAGAACACAGACCATAAAATGATTACAACAATTTAAAGGCTCTTAATTCGAAAAAAATCCACGCATGCACTGTGAATTTTGTACAAACACAATTTCTGGGGAAATCAAACAGGCAAACGGAGCGAGAATATGAAGACCAGGACTTCAAGTTTAATCGGATTGTTAAATATTCGAAAAATGAACAGTGAACATTAAAGTTGATCCTACGCTGGTGTGCGGTGATCTCATGCTGGGAACGGTTCCTCACTGAAGATGGCGCAATGCCGAAACGAGCTTGAGTACTTCAACAAACCCGCGAGTAAAGACGGACCCAATAAGTGACCGAGTCCGGTTCAACATGAGACTAAACATTGTTTTACAATACATACTTCAACTGATTTTAAGACGAGAATGTCCCATTTTTGCACTTTTAGGTCGATATTCTCAAAACAACCACAGCGAAAATAAGCGGACCAGCTTGTTCGTGAATGATCAAACCCGATAAAAATAAAATAGCACACAGACCTAAAAATACTTTACAAAAATTTAACGGCGCATAAAATGAAACTATTCCTCTTCCATGCGCTTTGAACTTTGTAGATTTAGTTTTTAAAAAAATTCTATGAGGCAAACAGGGCGACCAGGATTTTCAGGATCATTCAAATATGATCATGTAGTTTATATTCAAACAGCAAATTGACAAGAAAACTCTTTCAAAGATTTCTCCGTGTGGTCTGCGGCTGATGTAATCTGGTCGTTTCCGATCATTTTGGTCTGCCTATCCTCGCTGTGTTGGCCTGTAAGAAGCGTTTCTTCTTGTCATCTTCTGAGTTGGTTTTGTGTTTGAGATTTTATATTGGCACACAATTCCTGAAAACAGAATCGATTGTCTCTTAACAATTTCAGAATCTTCAGGCTGACAGATCAAACTGATTATCAAATGTTTTTGTGTTAATGTTAAGAAAACGCTGGAAGTCATGGCCATGAATAAACCGTTCACTTCTCTTTTCCACTTGAAATAACATTATAGATTAGCAGGCCAGACAATGCTTAACAAAGTTATTTTAAATTAATAGCCGACAAATTATAAGCTTTTTTCACAACACAATCAAATTAATATATCTCGTTGAATGTCACGTTGAAAGTAAGATTTTACATTCCTACTGGACTGAGGTCAGAGAGAAATGATAAGCTCAAGCTTATCTCGTTTATTGCACAATGATATGAAAAACCAAAGTGAAAAAATTCTTCCCATTTCTTTTTCAAAAGTTTCACCGAAGTACGCAAAACCGCGGGAGTAGAATTGCGCGTTAAAATGCTAAAACGAGCATTTACAATTCCGGGCAATTGGGGATTCGAATAATTCTCCCTTGCCGGATAAGCTCGGGGTAACAGATTATTTTTATTTATAGAAGTCAAATGGAAGATTAATCATGCTTCGGCAGAAGAATAAGCGCCAGCCAGGGTTTTGTACAAACCAAAATTAATCCTTTTGTTTTATTGATGGCTTACTGAATCCGTTTTTTTAATCTTTAAAGTTGGTCAAATTCTAATCTTAAAACAAGCTTTTTTCATTATAAATACATATATATGTCTCAACTCAAAAAGGAACGTCCATAATAATAACAATAACGGCGTAAGATGTCACGTTTCGTAGAAACAGGACTGGTCGTTAGGAAATCTTACTTGAAAAGTCAAAAACGCGTAAGTTAACAGTTGAGACAGGACACACAATTTTCCTCCACATAGGAGGAAAAAATCATGTTCAGAGAAGTACAATTTGCTGGTACATTGAAGAATCTAGGACGCACGGAAGGTGTATTTGGTCCCAAGATGTGTACTCAGAGCCCCTGGGCATGTTCACCAGTTTCTTTAAAGCCAAAGTCTATTAGCGATGTATACAATTCAATTTGAACAGAAGTAAAACAAA